TCTTTATATGAGTGATTAATTTATCAATCAATTGCTTTTATGAAATATTTATATAGAGAATAATGTTCTCTCAAAGCATTGCTTGATGATGCTGACCTCTATGGAAGAGGTCGTAAGAATCCACTAAGGATGTATGAACTATCTGAGGCTGTATGTTAGAGCCCCGCTCATTGACATTAACCTATATGGAAGAGATTGAGAGAATCTACCAATGATGTAAGACCTATCCGAGATTGTTTGTCGGAGCCTTTGCTCGATGACGTTAACCTGTATGGAAGAGGCCGAGAGAATCTACCAAAGATGTTAGACCTATCCAAGGTTATATGTTAAAGCCCTGCTTGACGACATTAACCTGTATGAAAGAGGTCGAGAGAATCCATCACAGATGTAAGACATATTCGAGGTTATATGTCAAAGCCCTGCTCGATAATGTTAACCTGTGTGGAAGAAATTGAGAGAATCCACCAAGGATGTAAGACCTATCAGAGATTATATATCGGAGCCTTTGCTTGACGCCGTTAACATGTATGGAAGAGGTCGAGAGAATCCACCAATGATGAAAGATCTATCTGAGGTTGTATGTCAGAGTCATGCTCGATGACGTTAACCTGTGTGGAAGAGGTCTAGAGAATCCACCAAGGATGTAGGACCTATCCGAGGTTGTATGTCGAAGCCTTTGCTCGAGGATGTTAACCTATATGGAAGAGATCAACAAAATCCACTAAGGATGTAAAATCTATCCGAGGTTGTATGTCAGAGCCATGCTCGATGACGTTAATCTTTGTGGAAGAGGTCGAGAGAATCCACCAAGGATGTAAGACCTATCTGATGTTGTATGTCAGAGCCCTGGTCGATGACATTAATATGTGTGAAAGAGGTCGAGAGAATCCACCAAGGATATAAGACCAATCCGAGGTTGTATATTAGATCCCCGCTCATTGACATTAACATATATGCAATAGATCGAGAGAATCCACCAAGGATGTAAGACCTATCTGAGGTTGTATATCGGAGTCTTTACTCGACGATGTTAACATGTATGTAAGAGGTCAAGAGAATCCACCAATGATGTAAGACATATCCGAGGTTGTATGTCCAAGTCCTGCTCGATAACATTAACATGTGTAGAAGAGAGAATCCACTAAGGATGTAGGACCTATTTGAGGTTGTATGTCAGAGCTTTTGCTCGATGACATTAACTTTTATGAAAGAGGTCGAGAGAATCCATCAAGGATGTAGGACCTATCCGAGATAGTATGTTAGAGTATTTGCTCGACGATGTTAACCTGTATGGAAGAGGTTGAATCAAATCCCTTGGGATCATTTTGCCTTGATTGGGAAGGGGTGAACGCCGCGTGTATCCCGAATAAAATGTGAAGAATGATCTATCTTTAGACCATTACTTTCTTTTTAAGGTCAAGATTAAGACCTTACCCAAGGAGTAGAAGTCTAGATATTGATTGTATAAAGCTTATAACTAATTGAGAATATTCTAGCTATTGTTGGAATTTTCTTGAAATATCATCTTGATATTGAAAGCATTGGATGATTTTTTTGACCACGATTAGAGTCAAAGTTGTCCCCCAGTCCGCATCTAATTCTTATAATATTGATGCAATAATGGCTAATTGTATGATGTTGATATGAGTGATCTTTTGAGATTGGAGCAATAATTGCCCCCAGTTGGAAATCACTTTCCCACAAATGGTGCAAAAATATTGCATCCAAGAGTATTTGCGGCGGTAGAGAAGTATAAAGCTTAGCGTCTTAGCATTGTATGAAGATCCAACACACACACAGATAAAGAGATAGGGTGTAATATTTAAAGGAGACACCAAAATTTTTATATGGAAAACTCCTAAAAAGGGGAAAAAAGTAACGGGGCCTAGCCTAGTTTGAATGAATCCACTAGTATTGCAGTTGATTACAAATGAGGCCCTTTCTTGGGGGAAGGCCTAACTTGATGTACATCGTATAGAGTAAATTACATGATAGGAATACAAAGAGTTCGATGCCGATGTGTTTGTTTGGTTTGAAGGACTATAGTCGGTGGGTGACGTAAGTAGAAAGGACCGTAGTTAGCGGACGACGAAGGTTAGAAAAATTGTAGTCGGTGGGCGATGTAAGTCAGAGGGATCGTAGTCAGCGAGCGATGGAGGTCCGTCGCTCGAAAGAATTGTAGTCAGTAGAAGTTTAGTAGTGGACAAAAATCCAACTTCAGATAGATGTCCAGCGAAATTTTAACAACAGGTAGAAGTTTGGCGTCGGGTAGAAACTTGGCGACGAGCAGAGGTCCAGCGTCGGGTAGAAGTCCGAGGTTAGTTGGTGGCTGAGGATAACTCAGGTGTTAGATGGTATTTGGGTAGAACTTCGGCGTCAATTGGAGTTCAGGTGAAACTTCGGCGTCACTTGGAGGTCGAGCGGAATTCCAGTGTCACTTAGGCAGAATTCTGGCATCTCATGGAAGCCGGGCAGGATTCTGGCATCACTTGGACAAAATTCCGGCATCTTGTCGAAGCCGGCAGGATTCTAGTGTCACTTGGGAAAAATTCCGTCGTCTCCTAGAAGTCGGCCAGAATTCCGGCATCACTTGGGCAGAATTCCGACGGCGGTGGTTGAGGAGTTACTTTCCTCCTATCATTCTTCTCATCTCTTCTCCTTCTTCTCTTGCTTGGGTCTTGGTTCTTGTCTCTTCGGTCCCCTCTCAAGAGAAATGAGAGGCTATTTATAATTTCTTGAGGATGGCATGACCCGTAAGTAGGAGGAGGATCAAGGACAAATGTTGAGTGGTTCGGATGAATAACCGATATTGAATCCTTTGATCATAGTATGTTTATCAAACATTTGAAGGTCTTAACAATATCAAAATTTGGCGATCTTGGGCTCGTTGGATTTGCCTTGTCGAGCCACTCGATTCGACTATAAGCATGTCATGTTTGGAAACCATTTGGTAACTCAAATTGTGGTTTGAACCTTCCAACAGTGCTTCAGGTCCTTGATTTGGACTCATTTGGGCTCATATCGAGTTGAATTTGGTGTCGTTGAGTTCGTATTTCCGAGAGGTTCATTTTGACAATAAGTTTGCTGAATTTGGAATTCATGTGATCCCGGATTTAATTCTTGAAGTTTATGACTTGATTTTTCCTAGAAATCCGTGCCCGATCAAGATGTTTTTTTGAGGATATATCAAACATAAAAACTAATTTTAATGAAAAAATAAAAAAATTAACATAATTTGTTTATAAAATTAGAAAATAAAAGAATTATTTTATTCTATCCATCTAACTATTAGCTAAATAAGTGAAATAACTAATAGCCTGTTGGTTAAAGGAGAAGTTACTATATAATCATTTATTTGAATCACATGCTTTATAATTTATTCTTTATCTTTAAATAAATTATTAGCTAAACATTTTATGTAAAATATGTGTTTTATGTCTCAATATTGTATAAAAATTCAACGCACATGGATAAAAATAACAAGATCAGAATTTTTTTACTATGTCATGTGTTGTACGCAATATATATTTGTTATATTAAGCCAACACCATCATTTGAGAAGGGGCATTATTTGTAATCAACCATTAATACTAGTGGATTCATTTCAACTCGGCAAAGTCCCATGGGCTTTCCCTCCTTTTTAGTAGTTTTCACATAAAATTTATAATGTCTTATGAACATGGCTTTCTTTTTTCTTATCTATATATGTGATGAATCTTCGTACAAACTAGAACGTTATATTTTTTATCTTTCTACCCTATGAATTTTCCGGATCACCACTTGAGGCGCTCGCCTTCGCTGAACCAACACTTGAGGCCCTCGCCCTCGCTAGACCTCCACTTTAGGCCCTCACCCTCGCCGGGCCATCACTTGAGGCCCTCACCCTCGCCGGACCTCCACCTGAGGCCCTCACCCTTACAAGACCACCACTTGAGGCCCTCACCTTCGTCGGACCACCACCTGAGGCCCTCACACTCAACGGACCACTGCTTGAGGACCTCAACTTCGCCGGACCACCACCTGAGACACTCACCTTCAACAGACCAATACTTGAGGCCCTAAACTCCACTAAACCATCAACTGACGCCAGAGTTCTTCCAAGTCACTATTAGACTACTAATTGACGCCCCAACTTTTAAGTGACGCCAGATTTAACACTAGATTTCAACCATCCGGATGACATTTGTAATCTGATTGCCCTCAAGGACGATTCAGCCCACTGTTCTCAACTCAAATTCTAGTGAAATCTTTTCAACTGGGTTAGGCCACGTGATCTTTCCTCTTTCCAGGGTTTTCTATGTAGAAAATCTTATGTTCTCTGTGTGTGAGCTGAATATCCGTGAAACGCTAAGACGTAAAATTACAACTCTATCGTCGAGTATATTCTAGCATGCAACAATAACGTCCTGAAAAATTCATAGGGTAGAAAGATAAAGAATTTAACGTTCTTAAAAATATTATATACGCAGAAAGCGCGCAAAAGAAGAAAGAAATGCTGTTTGATTAGAGATGAATTAAGACATTTTAAGGTTTTTCTGCATTTTAGAGTAGAAAATAGGTTTTTCGGTTGGAGATGACTTTAAAAAATATAAGTGTCAGTAAATGATTCAACCAGCTTGACTCGGACCCGGCCCAAAAAATTTGGGTTCAGGTTGAGCTGTTTAATAAACAAGTCAGTCTGGGTTGACCCACTAATTCGATTTTGACATGTTTAATTTTTTTCTTAAATTATTTTCTTTCTTTGTTTGATCTTCTTATTTTTGATCAATTAATATAAAATTTATGATAAAAAAGTAATGAATTTAATTTTTAATGAGAATATATTACCTGATCAGGTTTGGATTACTAGCAGGTGTGATTCGGGTCGGATTGGGATTGACAGATTTTTGGTCAAATTAGTTTTGGATAGAATCAAAGCTGTAAACCCATTTTTACACTAAAAAAATTATTGCTGTACTAAAAAAAAATCAATATTAGACGACAACACTTACTCTTACAAAAAAATGCGTGGTCGCTGTTCTGCACTTTGTCTCTCAGTTTCCCCCAAAAAACGAGAGGGAGAATACAGAGCAGAAGAGCCTCCTGAGCGCAGGCAGGAGCATTCATGGATGTCGGATTCTTGGGTCTAAGAATCATGGGCAAGGCAATGGCCCTCAATCTCCTTCGCAGTGGATTCCGAGTTACTGTCTGGAACAGGACTCTCTCCAAGGTCCCCTCATCTCTCTCTCTCTCTCTCTCTCTCTCTCTCTAAACATAGCTTTTAATCGGATATGGGAAGTGGATGTTTATATTTTACTTTTTATTAATTTGTTAGTTTATATTTATTTGAAGCTGTTGTTAAGGGAACCCCTTTGCGGTAGATTTTTGTTAGATGTTATTTGTCGTAGCTCGGATTGATTAGTTTTCTGAAGGTTGATTTTGATTAATGTATTTTTCTTCGGTTATCAATCTTGTCGAGGAATTTTGGTGTTCTTTGATTCATAAATGTTATTTTCGATGGTCAAAATCTTGATTCAGTTCGATTTGTTTTTGAATGTGAGTATTCATTTAATAGATGGAAGAGATAGAGCGCCAAGTATGATAATCTCTAGGAAATATTGAGCCTGAAGCTTTTACATTATCCTCGACATGCATTGGGGAATGTGAAGCACAGGAGGACGAAATTAAGCTCCTTGTAGAAACGTAAGAAATCTATATTCACCAACTGTTCTAAGCCAAAGAGTGAGAGCAATCTATAGTATATGTACTATTAGCATATTTTTAGCTATCCCATCTGGGACTGACCCAGTGAGAGCAACCTGTAGTAGAACTATTATAAAAATTAGGATTGGAAGTGATGAACACTGAGCTTAGAAATAACAATGAAGGCTGGGTTGCAGACAACGATGGATGTCTGGCATAGAGGCAGTGATGACTCCTCGTTTTTCCTAAGAGACCTTAGGGATTGCTTCATAACTTAAGAAGATTGCTCAAACTTCTTCCATGCTATACCAATTTTCAATTTTCTTATCAATTGTTCCCCAAGTTCCAAAAGGATATCTTGGGAGTAGTTGGAGTTGTACTTTTTGAACTATGATTGTGTTGTCATAATGTATAGCTTTTCTCCATTAATTGACGTTTGCCTTGAAGGCTTTTTCTTTCTTTGGAAAGTTGACTTCTTAGAAGGCTACACAAGAGAAACACTATATTTTCTTCTAAAATGGTTTTTTAATGAATTTTTGTTGACATATATGTTTCTGAAATTGTCAAGATGTTGCCTTCATGGTCACATGCTTATAGTCATTATAGGTGGAGCATGTTGCCACCAACCTGATGTTCGCTAATGTTTTCAAAGGTGATCAATGTTGATTCTTTCAATTATAGTTGACCATTATATGGATCTAAATAAGGGCTAGCCAATACTTATATAAGGATGTGCTTTGATGGGCTTGCTCAGCCAGAAAAAGCTTCTAAGCTCTCACATGTGAGAATTTAAGCATTTCTTATGACAGATCGAGTTGATCACAAACATATTTCATTCAATATCAATCAATGTTTATTTAAATTTGGAGTTTAAGATTTCTTATGATTACAAGACCACATAATTAGCCACCCCTCCAACTTGAGAGAGGATTCTCTATTAACGTGTCCATTCAACGTGTTATAGCTATTTTATCTTGCAATGACACATATTTATGTCCTAATATTATACAGGAAATGGGTAAGGATGAATGGTGACCCTTTTATTAATTCATGTTTCCATTGTCTATGGTTTTAGTTGGTGGATCCAATCCGAAGGGTCAGAAAGCCTTAGTTATATCATTTTATTCAAGCTAGGAATAGCAAGAATACTTGCGGTTTAAAGCTCGCTTGAATTTTGAGTTAGATTGAAATTCACTCTAAATAATAGAGTCAAGTATAAGCCTATAAGTTTGTCTCAAGCTGAATTTGGTTTCTATTTTGAGTTGTTGATGGATTGCTCAGAAATTGATTTTAGGTTTGCTCAAAAGACAAAAATATATATCATGTGTAAAAAATTGTAGTTGGATTGTTTGGCTTAGTGGCTTGTTCTTAAATTTATATCTTTCCCAAAGTGTTTTCTTTGCTAGTGATTGGATTTTAATTGTACCCATCTTCTTTTTTTAGTGTTAAGTAATGACTCCTATCCATTGGGTCAATCCAATAGCTCAAATATCATTATTCTTTAATATGTACCCATCATGCACTAAATGCCTGATGGTCCTCACTCTAGAATCTTATCTTGAGCACTAATTTTGAACATTAATTCCCTCTTGATGTCGATAGACCGGTCCAGCCGGTCCATACAGGACCGGCTCACGTTAAATGGGGCAGAACTCTTCCGCCCCCTGCATGCGCCGAACACGACCGCAAGCCACAGGACCCGCTTTTGGAAGGAATTTTAGGAGGGAAATTGAATGTAGGGACTGTTTAGGGATTTCCTTTTGATTTGTATGCATTAAATACTTTGTTTTTCTAGGGTTAGGGCATCTTGAATTTGGCTGAAATTTGAGATCTCTTAGATTTAGGGTTTCTTTGGGCTCTAGCGGCGTCTAGAGATTTGAGAGAGATTGATCCTCCTCTTGAATAGAGGATCAATTGTATCTTGCTATTTTCTATTTTGCTTTCATCAAATAATACAAATTATCTGCTGTTTTCGTGGTTTTGTGCGGACTTTTGTGAAGATTTCTCGCTGTCTTCTGAAGATTGATAGGAAATACTTGAGATCTACAAGTGTTTCCTATCAAATTGGTATCAGAGCAAGTCTTGAGACCGTTCGTGGGCAGTTTTGGGTGAATTTCAGCAGCTGATTTTTGGTCGGGAACGGACAAACTAGTGTTGTTTTTGTAATCCAAATACGGAATTTTTGGATTTACAAAAGTTCGGATCGAGATGGCAGTCAAGAAAATTGATGCGCTAGAAGAAAGGCTTGAAGGGGAGATGAACCAAATCAAGACAGCGGTGGAGGAAAGGATTTTCTCCATGGAAGGACAAGTAGCCGATCTCCCAGACATGATGAAGAAAATGTTGGAAATTCACAACCAAACGGCTGCTTCCGTGGCAAAAGAGGAGGAAAGAAAAACTACGAATTCTTAAATTCGTAGGGAGGAAGATGAGGTTGAAATCGTGGAGGGAGAAAAAAAGAAATCCTATTTGGAGCCTTTCCAGAGGGAGGATAGAGGAGGTAGGTATGGGGAAAGGCATGTGTATGGAGGGATGGAGCAAAGGGGTTATTATTGGGATCGCTAGGAGGGACATTATGGTCGCCGATGTGCTGAATTTGAAGGAAGAAGAGGGGAATTCGAAGGGGGTTCGGGCTATGGCAGGGCAAGGGAAAACCGGGAGACGTGGGGTGGACCGAGCACTTGGGAGAGGGGAAGCTATGGAGGAATAAGGGGGTATGTTGGAGATCAGAAGGTGAGTAAGTTGAAGATGCCCATCTTCGAGGGGGAGGATGCGTATAGGTGGATCTATAAGGTGGAGAGGTACTTTGCCGTTAATGGGCTAACGGAGGAGGAGAAGTTGACAGCAGCAGGCTTATGCTTGGAGGGGAAGACACTATCATGGTACCAGTGGAGAGACCAGAGGAGACTTATCAGGGACTGGAGGGAATTCAAGGACTGCATAAGAGAACATTTCCAAACCGACAAGGGAGGAGATTTCTATGAGCATTTCTTTGCTCTGGCACAGGAGGGATCAGTAGTAGACTACCGGGAGCAGTTTGAGCACCTAACCAGTAGGGTGGAGCGAATATCAGATACGGTATTGGAGGGGAACTTCATGAAGTGGTTGAAGGCAGAGATTCGAGCAGCAGTGAAGGTTTTGATGCCTTGTGACTTGAGGGAGGCCATGAAGTTGACCCAACTGGTGGAAAATCAGAAGAATCTAGAGAAGGGAGTCAGGAGCAACAGCTTAGGAGGCTCTTACAGGACGACGACCACTCTTCTAACACCCAAGGGGCCTGTATCAAAACACATTAATGAGACCACTAGGGAGAAGCCAGTAGGAGGGAGTGGGGAAAATTTCAAGAGGTTGACAAAGAAGGAGATGCATGAGAGGAGGGCAAAAGGGTTATTTTTCAGGTGCGAGGAGAAGTATACGCCAGGAAATCGGTGCAAGGACCGAACTCTTCAGGTTCTCACCGTTTGTGATGACGAGGAAACTGATGAGGGCGGTGAGGGTGAGTTGGAAGAAGAGATGGAGGAGAAGTTGCATTTGGATATGGCTGAGGTTTCCATGAACTTAGTGATAGGATTCGCTACGATCATACCATGAAGGTGAATGGAGAGATAGACGGCAGGATGGTGGTGGTGCTAATTGATAGTGGGGCTACTCACAATTTCATTTCCACTCAGGTCGTCGACCAATTGGGAGTGAAATTAGTGGAAACCGGTTGTTATGGGGTGATGATGGGTACATGGAAGGTGGAGAAAGGCCAGGGGATCTGTAGATGAGTGATGTTGACCATCCAGGGGATTCAAGTAAGGGAGGAATTTCTCCCATTAGAGTTAGGAAGTACTGATGTCATCCTGGGGATGAAGTGGTTGCAAACCTTGGGGGAAACCAAGGATAATTGGGGAGCACTCACGATGAAATTAATAGTGTAGGGGAGAAAGATGGTTATAAGGGGAGATGCTGGGCTATCCAAAGCCATGATAACACTTAAGATCATGGTTAGGAGCCTACAAGAGGTGAGGGAAGATTATCTCGTGGGACTACACAAGCTGGATGTGATCATGACGGATGAGGGAGGGGATGTTTCTCTTTCCGTGCAGCCCTTGGTTCAGCAATACAATAAGGTTTTTCAGTCACCTCAAGGATGGCCACCTCCGCGAGAACACGAGCATATTTCCATCTTGAGGACAAGGTGGATCTTTGAGAGAGGAGTATTAATAGACCGGTCCAGCCGGTCCATACGGGACCGGCTCACGTTAAATGGGGCAGAACTCTTTCGCCCCCGCATACGCCGAACACGACCACAAGCCACAGGAGCTGCTTTTGGAAGGATTTTGGAAGGAATTTTAGTAGGGAAATTGAATGTAGGGATTGTTTAGGGATTTCCTTTTGATTTGTATGCATTAAATACTTTTTTTTTCCTTGGGTTAGGGCATCTTGAATTTGGCTGAAATTTAAGATATCTTAGATTTAGGTTTTCTTTGGGCTCTAGCGGCGTCTAGAGATTTGGGAGAGATCGATCCTCCTCTCGAATTGAGGATCAATTGTATCTTTGTTGTTTTATTCATCTACTAGTGAAATACAAGCTTTCCCTTGAGTTTTCTCTCAGTTTTCTCGCAATTTCTCGCTGTTTTCTTGTGTGTGGCTGCTGTCCTCTGCTGAAAACAGCAGTTTCCTTCTTGTTTTACTTCAGATTTGGCTAGCTAGTGGGGTATAGAGATTTGGGAGAGATCGACCCTCCTCTCGAATAGAGGATCAATTGTATCTTGCTATTTTTTGTTTTCCTTTCGTCAAATAATACAAATTATCTACTGTTTTCGTGATTTTGTGCGGACTTTTGTGAAGATTTCTCGCTGTCTTCCGAATATTGATAGGAAATACTTGAGATCTACAAGTGTTTCCTATCAAATTTCTCCTCTATTGCTTTCTCTATTTTTCTTGTTTGCTTCAGGATTCTATTTCATCGCCTTTTCCCTAGATCTTTCCCTTCATACTCGTAACTTTTCTATGCTCTTCTATGCCAACTTATTTCTATCACTCCTATCTTGCAAGTTAGGCTTAAGTTTTCTCATATGTTTTTGATTAGGGAAATGATTTATATTTTTTTCCTGTTTTCGTTTGTCAATTTTATTTCCTTATACAATTCAAATGATTCATATCTCTAATACTATATGCTCTTTGTAAATTTATCATACTAATCTCCATTTTCCTGTTGAATGCTAATTCTATGCCTGATAACTTGGTTATGGGTTCTTACTTCTTACATGGTTGTCAATGGGTCAATCTAAAAAATTTCTCTTAGATTTTTATATTACCTGTTAAGTGTAGCTAGATTAATGCATTTTTCTTTTTTTTTTCTTTGTTATATCTGTAATTTAATAATTCAATTTGTTGGTTGTAAATTTGTGGATTTAAAACTATTTTTTATTGAAAATTCTAGATTTTTTTTTTTTGTTACATTTGTAGTTTAGAAATGAATTTGAGTTGTCTCAAAAAATTATCGAGTTGATTCATAATCAAAGGGTTTTGAGTTATGTGAACTTTACTTAAAATTATTTTGATTATGATTGGAGTTTGAGACTACTAATAATAAAAAATTTTAAGTTTAGTACAGCTTGCTTGAACTCGAAGCCCTATGTAAATCCAAGTGATGTAGGGTCAAAGAGGATCTTTATTGTGAAAGTAGCAACTTGATTGATGATATTTTGCGGTGGTGGTAAAGGGTTATGTAGGCAAGGGAAGAGCATAATTGTTTTGTGAAGATATGGAGTTGGTGTTTCTTGGCTATGAAAGTGTAAGTTTTTTTTTTGTAGGAGAAGGGTTAGGATCTCCATATCAAAAGTTTTGGATGTAAGGAAACTAATTGAGATATATGTATTTGGTTTGTATCAATGGTTAGGGATTTAGCAAATTGTGAACTTTTTAAACTTGCTGCTCAAAGCAGGATTTTTTTTTGGGTGTTGTGATTTTGGCTTGAATTTCTTGGAGTTATTGGGGGTTATATAGGTTGTGGGGAAGGTAGAGAAGATGTTTGAAGGTGTTGGATGGGATCTTTGGGATGTTTCATGCTTGCTTGTAATCAAAATTACTGAAAGGGAGAAGTAGGAAGACCTCCAATGGATCATTTGGAAGGACATGTGGTAGAGAATTAGTTGGTCTAAAATGTTAGGCAGGGGTTTATCATAATAATCTTGCTGTTGCATTGTTTGACTAGGTTAGCTTGGATTATGATAATAATTTCAGTAGTGTGGGCAAGAGGACTAGTACATAGAAATTCACTAATAGACTTGTCTCAAAATATATCCCACATATGACTTCTAACTATTGTTTTCAACTTTCTTTTGTTGGGAAGGACTTCACTATTTAAAATTTGAAGTTATAAAGGATTCCTGCACACAACCAGCTCAAAAGAAGGTTATCAACTACTCTTTAAGGGGTTCTTCCCTTGGGGAGACCCTACAATGCTCAAGTTGATGTCTAAGCAACGTAGTCCAACTTCGACTAGTTTGGTGGTATTTATCTTGAAATGTCTTATGAATCACATGAATATAATATGCTTTAGTGTAGAATCTCATAATATGAGTAGAAATTATTCAAACTATCATGGTTGTGTTATAGCGGCTTGGCATGCACTCTTAGGTAAGATAAACACTAGATGGGTTTGGGCAGAGTGAGGAGAACTAGTGAGGATAGAACTTTATTTCTAATAGATGAGGTAGATGGAAACCATCAAGAGCTCTAGGAGATGGCTTATTGAAGCAGGATAGCTTGAGTTAGAAGTTGCTTTGAAGTTTGAGCTTGGAGATGTGGTGGAGGATGTATTTGAAGATGATGATTGGAGGATGTGGGGCTTGAAATTATTGTTGGAGACTAGGCTTGAAGATGAGGACAAATTTTGAGCTCAAAGACAGTGTTTGATAATAGGCCTAGAGCTGGCGGTGATTCCTTGATCTAAGTGGGAGAACACAGATTGAATTAAGCTCCCAAACCTTTTGGTTATCTCAGCCAAAAAGCTCTGGTGGGAAAAAAAGGAGGATTCTACAGTACACTCGGCAATGGATTTGGTCTACTTTGGAGATCTTTGGTCAAATTTAGATCCCTACCCCTTCCTTTGCCTTTTGGCTCGATACGAGTCTATGAGAGAAGGATTAAATAGTTTACATGAGAATGGGGATTTCTTGATATGCCTTGGAGAGCTTAGGTTGAATTTAGTCTTCTAACTTAGCGTTTCATAAGAGGAGGATTCAATTGTCCACCTTGAATTTAAAATTCCCATCTTGAATTTAATGAAGATAATTATATTAATGAATTATTTATAGATGCAATCAAGGAAATTTTATGAATAGCCTAAAAGTTGTTGATGTTTATCCAAAAAATGTGGCTACTATCATGTCTACTTCGCATTGAAATGTGAATGAAATGCTAAAGGTCCAATTCACCTCTTATTCTATGCCACATCAACTCGGAAATTTTTCTTAAGAGAACTCTTGAGTGCTGTTGTTGTTAGGACCTCCCAGACACAACACAACTCGGTAATCGAACAAATAGAGTGAGCAAGGAAAATTCGAACAATGTTGATGAGGAAATGTAGCTTTCTTTGAATTTTCATGTAAACTTTTGAGGTCTTCTTTTTTGAATAGTTTGATCCGTCACTTTGAAAGAAAAATATGATGTTCTTTCTCATCCTATGAAGATTGTTTCAAAACCAACACTAAGTGACGAGGAATAGAAAGGCCACAATTATACAACGTGCTTGTCACCACTGATTAGTCCTCTTTAGGTTGGTGCGTTCCAAAGGGATGCCGCGTTTCTTGTTCTTGGGGGACCTTCCTGTGGTTCGGCTAAGGCTTAACTTGGCCTATGTGTTAACCGATTCGATTACAATGCTAACTTTGGCTAGAAAAGATTTGTCTGGCTGGTCTGGGCCTATTTGATATCTATTTCAAGTGATCTGAGCATGTAGCTAGTTTAGTTTGGCCTGTGTATTGCAGGTTATGTTAGGAGGTTAGCTTTGCTCTATTCAACACTGATCTGGTTGGTCCGAGCTCATTTGTGCTGGAGTTTGAGTGATCCACCAACTCTGTTCAACTTTTCTTAGCTAGTGTAGTAATAACTATCCAACTTAGTTTGTTTAGGTGTTCATTTAGCAAACATGAACTAAGTAGATTTCATTTTAGTCTCTGGTAGATGTTTGGAGATTCGTGCTGTCCTTTCAAAACAGTGTTAGACTTAATGGGGTTATTATGTCCTTTCAAAACAGTGCTAGACTTAATGGGGTTATTATGGACGGCCAAGGATGATATTATCTGTTGTGCCTCAAGATTTTTATAGTTCCAGGGTTTTCTACACCGCAATCTCTTAGTTCCTCTTCTCTTTTATTTACATAATAGATTTATACGTTATTTTATTCTTGTTTGTTTCCTTTTTTATTTATCCGTTCTATTTCTTTGCATTCATCATAAAGAACACTTAAAAGAAATCTCATGCATATTTAACATTTTGCCTCATAATTTTGCATGTTATACAATTTTTAGAGATTGTTCATCTAACATTAGATCTTGATAACATAATTCATCATCTGAATTGCAGTTAATTAAGGTAACTGTTTTGTTTGTTGATTATATATCTTGTCTTAGTGTCAAGGTCTTGTTGAACTTGGGGCCTCTATGGGAGAAACTCCAGCTGCTGTTGTCAGCAAGTCGAAGTACACCATTGCTATGCTGGCTGATCCAATTGCTGCTCTCTCGGTAATGCTAAGTTACATGTCTTTTAAACCGTTATATTTCAGCTCTGATACTTTTGAAACCAGTTCAGGTTGTATTTGAAAAAGGTGGAGTCCTTGAACAAATTTGTGAAGGAAAAGGTTACATTGACATGTCTACTGTTGATGCTGATACTTCATTAAAGATTAATGAGGTTAGAACTTCTTGATGAGCATGCTATTATGGTTTACTTTTTTATTTTCCGTATTTTTCTTTTGTTTGAAAAACTCTGTGGTTGAAAAACTTTTCTATAAAAAAATTTCATTAAAAAATTTCATTTCGGTTCAACAAAACTTCAAAGAGGGTTAAGTTTTTAAAAATACCAATTCACCCCCTCTTGGTAGCCTTGAGACTAACTTAGGTCTAACAACCTATTCACTAGACTCAACATACTTTTCATATTTCCTTTATGCATGGTGAGATCTTTCTCTCTCCACTTATTAGACCATTAATTGTAACAGTTTTTAGCTTTTCCTTACCATGATGGATCAGGTTATGCAACCATATTTTACATTAAAAGGTAGCAACATATGTCACAGGCTTTTCATGTTACAATTTAAGCGATATCACACAATTTTTATTTTTTCTTTTTCACGTTAGTTTGGTAGTTTTACCTTTTATTTAGATCCTATGGTACCTATAATTTCATCTCATTATTTTGATTAGTATAAAGAACATTCTCGCCATTCAACACTTGTTCCATTTATTGTCTGGTATCTTCTCTCTTCTATGTTGAACACATTGCTTCATCTCTCTTATGTTTCTTTCAAGTTGGCTTTAGTTGATCAGAATATCGATAAAAATAATATTTATATCTAAGCAGCTGCATTTCAAGAAACATGAAGTTCTTATGGGTTGCTAAGTATTGACATCAGATGTTTATAAAACTAGAGTTATGAATTTCTTGAATGCTAACCTAATTGATGAATGTTTTGGGAATTCTTTCAATTTACCTAGCAACTACTACAACAACAACAACAACAAGCATTTATCCCACTATGTGGGGTCGGCTACATGAATCCTTTCTCCATTGTGTCATGTTAGGAGTCAAATTCTCATCCAACTTTAATTCTACTAATAATATCCCCATCTATTTCATCATCACTTTGAACAATAGACCTAAGATATCTAAACATGTACTCTTATTGACTTGATCGCCCAAAGTCACAATCCCCCAACTAGATCTATTATTGCTTAAATTATACTCTATATATTCAATTTTAGATCTGAAAGCCTTTAGACTCTAAGATTGACCTCCATAATTCAAGTTTACTTCAACTCTCTCTCTCTAGTCTTATCAACAAGAAGAATATCATCAGCAAAAAACATACACTAGGGTACAACCTATTGCAAATGTCTAGTGAGAACACCCATAACTAAAGCAAAAAGATATGGGCTTAAGGCTGATCATTGATGTAATCCAACTAAAAGAGGGAAATACTTAATTAAACTACCTTGTTTGAACACAAGTAACAACTCATGCATACATGTCCTTAATGACTTGAATATAAGCATTATTAACCCCTTTCTTATGTAGAACTCTCCATGACATTTCTCTTGGAACTTTATCATATGCTTTCTCTAAATCAATAAAAAGAATATGTAGATCCTTTGTATTCTCTCTATACTTCTCCATAAAACCTCTCAATAATTGTATAGATTGCATAGTAGGCATACCTGGCATGAATCCAAATTAGGATAAGAACTTGAAATATATGTTCACTTAAAGGAAAATTAATGAAATTAATAGATATTATGGTTCATAGAAAGATAAATATTCTATGCGTTCAAGAAACTAAATGGGTTCGGCCCGGCTAGCCCATTGATAACGGGGCGGGAATAGTCGGTCGTACGGAAGAGCATATAAAACATAATCAAATTCATTATAAATTTAACATCAGTACATAAATGTCATCCAACTTTAAAAGAAAGAGCCACTAAAAGATATCAAACTGAAATGTTTCAAATTGTTCAACTGTCTCACAACTATTAAAATTTTTTAATCCATTAATTACATAAACTCCATATCAATGATCAAACAGCAGTACATACTTAAACTTAAACTCACAAACTACACAGGAAATAAACTCAAAGACTCAAACTGAAATCATAAAAAAGAACATTTCATCCTGAGGTCCCCTACGACGATACATATAAGGTCGTCGTGCAGCCATCACTTATCTCCTGAAAAATATTTCCAAAAGTAGGATGAGCTTACTCGCTTAGCAGGTTATTCATAACTCAGTTAATTTTATAAGATGCATATACCAAAAATATTTATAATTGAAATCATTTCATAACATTAGCAAATAAAAAATATTTGAATTTACATTCTTACTTTCCTTTTTTCTTTCTATAACATTTCATTCTTTTCATTCTTTCCTTTCACCTTTTTCATATGCAATGCAAATGCAAAAATGCATATGCTAAATGTAACACCAGTCCTGGAAGTACCCTTATTCGTACTGATCAGGTACGCAGTCAAATTTTGGCCATTTCCTTTACCATTTGGCTTCGTAGAACCCCATTTCCATTTGGCTTTTATAAACCCCTTTACCATTACCATTTTGGCACTTCCGGATTAACATGCATATGAAATTATTATTGCTTTTAAATCTTTCAATTATGCTCAATTATCTTTCATAAACTTTACATATTTCATGTTCAATATTTTTTTTCATATACTTTATATGCTTTCTAAAATAATGCATGAAATGAAAACATAAAATTTCAGGGTATTCTTTAAATCATAGATATAAAACATTTGATAGTAAATGAAATATTTTGACAGTAAAATAAATGCATAAAATCTCTTTTTAAGCATAAATAAACTTTGCACTTATAAACTTAAATGAGGTATGAACACCTACCTCAAACCAAGTACGGTACGTTGCTTCGACACAATTCTTCCACCTTACCCTTTAATGATCACAACCTAAGAAAGTTTATAAAATAAACGTGTCATATATTTAATAATCTAAATCCTAAGTTTAAATCTTTCATTAAGGCTTAAAGCTAATTCTAAGTCTAATTGCTAAACCCATCATTTTCCCTTAATAAATCCTTATGATACTTAATAATTATTTAATTAAATAAACCTTAATTTTTGGATTTAATTAAATCTTAATTTTTATAAAATCATAAATCTTATATTTTATCAAAATATTGCTCAAAAATTAATCCTTAACATATTTTTATACTTATAAATTGAATTTTCGGATTTAACTAATTATGGAAATTATAAAAAGCAAATTTTCATCAAAAATCCAATTTCATGCTTTAAAAACATTTCTAATGTCTTTGGGAATAATTTTTCTTAAAACACTTAGTAGAAATTAGGTTTTTTAACAAAAAGCCTTAAAATTTTATTATCCAAAAATTCCTCAAATCTCTATGTTTTTACCGTTAAAATGTTATCCTAATTGTTCCTTATTAATTTCTTAAAGAAATTTTGGGAGAAAACATTTTCTAGCAAAAAACCTAAAAATTTCATTCAAAAAAATCTAGAGATTTAGATGGTTTCGTTCTAAAATAATTGTACCTGAGTGTTCCTCTCGTCGTCCTCTTCGATTTGAACTAAATCTCTCTCCGGAAGATCACCGCCGGAACGCCCCCGCGGAAGTCGTACCGTCCGCCTCTCCTCTCTTTTTTGCTCGGTTCACGTGAATGGGGGAGAAAGAGGGCTCGGTTTGCCTATTAAGGGAGAAAGGAGGATTGCCAAAAGTCTATTTTACCCTCACTTAAGTGAAATCAGCCTTCTATTTACAAAGGGATAAAATCGGTATTATGAAACTTCGTTAAATTTTAATTCCTAAAATAGGCTAAATTAGGTATAAGTGTTATATATATCAAAACGATCAGAATTTTGCAAGGAATTTTCTAAAATTATTTTCGTCGAATTTCGTTAACGTTGAAAATTTTACTCAAATCTCGTCGCGGCGCTTTGAAAAGCGTGCGACGAACTATTAAGATTGTTTTCGGGTTTTACAGCTGGAATGAAGGCTAAGGAGATTGATGATTTAGGATTTGAACCATTATATTTTTGTAGGAGTTGTACTAGAAATGAAGGATAAGTAGAATTAGGATAGGAAATTGGAATATATGTTATCTTAAAGGCAAATTAATGAAATTAATAGATATTATGGTTCATAGAAAGATAAATATTCGATGCATTCAGGAAACTAAATAGGTTGTAATGAAGGCTAAGGAGATTGATGGTTTAGGATTTAAACCATTATATTATGGTAGGAGTTGTACTAGAAATGGTGTATTGTGATTATAGATAAAAGTTTGAGAGATAATATTATAAAGATTAATAGAATTGGAGATAGAAGTATAACTTTAATGATTATTGATGCTAAGATTATTAATATTATAAGTACTTATGCTCTTCAAGTAGGTTTGGATATATGTTCAAATCTAAAATTTTGGAATAACTTAAAAAATTAATACAAAAGATACCCCTTGAAAAAATAATTTTTATTAGATGAGATTTATATGGACATGTTAGCAGATAGGTATATAATTTTAAAAAAATTCATGGTGGCTATGAATTTGGAGTGACTAATTAATGTGTTAAGACCATATTAGATTTTGCTCAGGCTTATGATTTTGTAATTGCTAATACCTTATATTTAAGAAAGAGATGAGCATTTTATCACTTATAATAAAAGATATAATAAAATTGAGATTAATTATTTTCTTATAAAAAAGAAATAAATTAGATTGTAAAGATTTTAAAGTTATTTCGAGTGAAGTTTATGTATCAAATATTATTTATTAGTTTTGGACTTTAAGATGAATGAGCAAAATATGAAAAGTAAAGTGAAATGTTGTTCTAGGATTAGATGAGGGCATTTAAAGAACACTAATAAAAATATTTTTAAGAGTAAGATTTTAGATATTAAGATTTTATCTGATGTATGAAGAAGCTAATGTTATATTATAAGAAATAGCTACCGATATTAAGAATATTACAAAGGATGTGCTTGAAATATCAAAATAAAAAGTTCATAATTGTAAAAATAATTGGTGGTGGAATCAAATTGTGTAAGAAAAGATAAAAAAATAAGAAGCTTTGTTATAAAAATTCATTTAGATGTAAAAACTCTGAAAATTGGAAAAAGATATAAAGATGCCCGTAAGGAATCTAAGAAAGCAATATGCGATGCAAATAATTTAGCTTTTAATAATTTATATAATATATTCAATGCTAAGGAGGGCGAAAGATATATGTATAAGTTAGTCAAAAAAAGATACGAGCAATAAGAATTTAGTTCAAGTGAAGTGTATTAAGGATGGAGATCAAAAAGTCCTTTTATTAGAAGAGGATATTCAAAAAAGGTAGATGAGATTTTTTGCTAAGCTTTTCAATGAAGATTGTGATTGACTTTAGTGAGCTTAGCACCCTAAATGAAAACAATGATTTTATTTTATCGTTGTATTAGTAAAACTGAAGTTAGAGAGGCTTTAAAGAAAATGAATTGTGGAGAAGCTGCTGGACTAAATGATATTCCAATAGAGGTGTGGAAATGATTAGGAGATGAATGAATTTCTTAGCTTTCTAATTTTTTTAATATTATTTTGAATACTAAAAAGATGCCAAATGAGTGGAGTAGGAGTGTGTTGATTATTTTTAAGAATAAAGGTGATGAACAAGATTGCGCGAATTATAAAGGAATTAAGTTAATGTCATACTTTAAAACTATTGGAGAGAGTTATGGATCATAGTTTACAACGTGATACTAATGTTTCTTAAAATCAATTTGGATTCATGCCGGGTAGGTCTACTATGGAAGCTATACATTTATTGCGAGGTTCGATGAAGAAGTATAGAGAGAATAAGGAGGATTTATGTATGATATTTATTGATTTAGAGAAAGCATATGATAAAGTATCAAGAGAAGTGCCATGGAGAGTTCTACATAAGAAATGGGTTAATAATGCTTATATTCAAGTCATTAAGGATATGTATGCATGAGTTGTTACTTGTGTTCAAACACAAGGTGGTTTGATAAAATATTTCTCTATTTTAGATGGATTACATTAAGGATTAGCCTTCAGCTCATATCTTTTTGTTTTAATCATGGATGTTCTTACTAGATATTTGCAAGAGGATGTACCTTGGTGTATGCTTTTTGCTGATGATATTCTTTTTATTGATAAGACTAGAAAGAGAGTTGAAGGTAAACTGAATTATGGAGGTCAATCTTAGAGTCTAAAGGCTTTCGTTTGAGTAGATCTAAAATTGAATATATGGAGTATAATTTCAGTAATAATAGATATAGTGGGGGAATTGGCTACTGTCGCTGCACCCATCCACTGCAGTGCTTGTCGTCACTCATCGCACACGAACAACTCTTCTTTGGTAAATCTGACGTCATGAATGTATTGGTGCAATCTGGTTTGCAACCGATTGATGTTTGAATAATTCAGGTCGTGGTCAGTAATGTTAGTTGAACGTTGTCGGGTATTTTGAACTTGTTGCGCATGCGATATTGCATCAAACGGATGTCATTTTCGTCGCACGTGATTATGAAGCGTATGCAGAGGTCAACAAGAATATGTTTGGAGATGAAATTTATTATGAGGTTCCTCAAAATATTAAATGATCACTTCAAGTCAATAAATAATGTCCTCAAGATATTTTCATTAATACATGATCCCCAAAATAGTGTCATAGTCTAAAAAATTGGATTGGTAAAAAAAAAATGCATTTAATGAGAAGATCCAATCTCATATTGTAAAGATTTTATAGTGTAAAAAATTTGCTCCACAATTCCTTTATTTAACCAATGCTGCTGCCTTTATCTCATTGAACACTATTTGATATGTTGGAAAAAAATTAAACTATCATGACTTTTCAAGAACCCATTCATCTTTGACTTTGCTATAGAGTAAAAATTAGATTCTCCTTTTATGCAAAGTCAGTTCATGCTTTTCCATCATTCATGCTGGTGACAGTCTTGAGGAATATCATTTTAAGTAATAATAGGACATTATCATGCATTGTTGGAAGGAGAACCCAAATTTTGAAAATTGTATGTAGTATGTACCCTTTTTACATAAACTTTTATGATTCATTTCGTTCATTCAGATGGCATATTGACTGAAACTTTATTTAACTTTTCTGCATTTATTCTTGCAGGCTATTACTAATAAGGGTGGAAAGTTTCTTGAAGCGCCAGTTTCTGGCAGCAAAAAGCCGGCTGAAGATGGTCAGTTAATTATACTTGCTGCTGGTGAGAAGGTGAGAATATGCTTTTCTCTATTCGCACTACAAGAATGATTACCAACACTTTGAGCCCTTAATGAGACAAAATGATTTGAAGATATTGATCGTCCCCTAGAAAATTAGATTCAATTAAGGGTATTATTGTAAAATCAAACCAAATCGATTTTATTTGGTTGGTTTAATTCATTTTTTAAATTGTTGGTTTAGTTATTAGTTGTAATTTTAATTTATTTTTTAGTTATTGGTTTGATTTTTTCTTTTGTAAAACTGATCAATTCAACAATCTAATTATATTAATTTTTTTAATATTAAATCAATAAAATCATGTAAATAAACAATTGATTCATAAACCATCTTTGATATTATTTATTTCACATGCCAAAATTATAAATTTTAATAAATATTACTTTGTACTCTTCTTTCATTTAATTTAAAAATAATTAGGTTCATTGTTAAAATTAATTTTAGATTCATCCAAGACTGAACTGAACTAAAGTTCAGTTTGTTTAAGATTGGTTTGAGAAATAATTTGTTTGTCTTTTGTTGGATCTCTTATTTGCCATACAAGGCGTTCATCATATTTTTAATGGACAGCGTTGGAAAAATCTACAGCATTAATGCATTTTCTTATTTCTTTTTTTCTTCAATTTAATATTTGTACCTAGCTGCTTTTTTCTTGCTCTGTTAGAGAAAAAAAACTATTTGATTGGCACTAATATGCATGTATAAAGATGAAACTAAAATAGGAAAAAGGAACGTTGTTGTTCACAAAACATTGATTTGCAATTCACTATATAGTAATTTTAATGGCCGTAGAACGATAATGCGATGATGCTAATGATAATGATGACCAAAAAAAATTGTCAGGTTTAAATTTGGGTTTGCATTCGGTTTGGGCTACTTTAGTTTAGAATTTGGGGGTAGATAAATTTAGTTAGGATAGTATTCCCATTAAGCTTAAATTTAATGGATTGTTGCTAGTTTGTTGGATGAAATCAATGAGATTTAGGAGGTTAGGTAGAGCTATTTTTGCAATTTAAATTTGAGTTGAACTAATTATGTGAAGATTATGCAAATATTTAAGGTTATTGGTGGAAAGAGAAGAGGACTATGAAGCAAAACAAGCGCTCAGTGGGCTTGAATTTGGTTTGTGTGAACAATAACTTTACTGTTTCTTGACAAATATTTTTTTTTTCTTGGAATAATTTTATTATTTTACCAGAAGTAATTTATTATTTGGGAAAATAATCAGAATGACCCCTTGACTTTTTATGAAAGATTAAAATGATCTTCAATTATATTGAATGATTATTTTGGTCCCTTAAGTTTTTAAGAAGGAATCAAAATAATTCCCATGGTGGACTATTTTGGTTTCTTTTTAAGGAGTTAATGGACCAAAATGGTGCTTTAATATTGTTAGAGACTGTTTTGATTTTTTAGAGTGTCAAGGTGTAATTTTGATCATTTTCTCTTTATTATTTTGAACTAGCTTAAGGAATTGTGGAAAGGGGGTAGAAATGTTGTAGTTTGGGGGAAAATATAGAACAAAAAAAGGTTCATGAAATTTGTTCTCGATATGATTTTGAATATAAATTGTAGGAGTGTCAATATTTGACACGACCCGAAAACCCGACTCGAACCCGACCTGAAAATTTCGGGTTAGGGTCAAACCGAACCCGAAACGAGTCGGGTTCGGGTTCAACATTTCGACCTGTTTCAAAAATTGGGTCGGATTCGGGTTAACCCTTTGACCTGAAAATGACTCGAAATTGATCCGTTTTTTACCTGAAAACCCATTTTGACCCAGCAACCCGAGATTGACCCGTTTTTGACCTGAAAAAGAGGAGATAGACCCATTTTGACCATAAAATTAGCAATTTTTTGTTAAAAACGGGTCATTCGGGTCGTGTCGGGTTGACCAGAACCCGAAGCGGGTCAGGTTCGGGTTGACCCGAATAGTGTCGGCTCAGTTTCGAGTTCGACCCGAACCCGACCCGTGATCCGAAATTGACACCCCTAATAAATTGATCCGAAATCATATCTTTGATACCAATTTGATAATTGATGACCATGAAATGACTATAATATCTAATAAAAAAGATGGAAATTGTTAGAATGTTAAGAAATTATAGCCTTAGGCATTGTTTCTCCTAGGCGAGTTTTAGATCTTGTAATAGATTAGGGATCAAAATCTTGAAAGAACGTCCATATTAAGAATTTAATTTATTCCTTTGAAACATACTTCGAACAACATTTTTTTTTTTAATACTTCGAACAATATCTATATATATAAATAGTAAAAGAATAAAAAACTTCTAGTAAATTGCCAATAAATTAATGTTTGACTATAATATCCTTAATAAAAAAATGAAATGACATGAGATCTTAAAGTTATAAAATGGTCTAAATGCCCATAACAAAATGAAACTACACAATTGATGTTCTCATCATCATCCCTCTCAAATTCCCTCTCAAACTTATTTGGAGGACATCTCTATAATAGTTTTATTTTTCAGTTTTATATGTTAATTCGCTAATTTTCCATTGCAGGAATTATATGATGCTGCAATTCCTGCGTTTGATGTCTTAGGAAAGAAATCATTCTTTCTTGGATCAGTTGGAAATGGAGCAAACATGAAACTTGTGGTCAATATGGTCATGGGAAGGTATGTTTTATTCTTTTTGATGGATGTCTAAGAACTAGTTAAATCTTAATAAATGTTTGTTAATAAACTATTATATTACTTAAAAAAATGTTTGCTTGATATAATTGTTGACCTCAATAGTAGCTTTGGAGTCAATCGCGCACGACCAAAACGACAACTGAATAATGTGACGTCGCTCGAAAATTGTCCAAAATGCATTGATTAAAAGTCAAAATTCCGAAATGGTGCTTGTTCACAAAACGGGCAGTGTTGATTGTTCGGGACAATTGAAACGACTAAGATAGACATCCACATTGGCCAGGGTTTTCGATCAATAAAAGTTGAAATTGTGTGCCAAATGAAGATGAAATCGATGCGTGTGAATGAAGAAAATTTAACAAGCTAATTGATGCATGATTAATGTATATAAATAATTATTATTAATTTAAAAAATTAATATTAATTTTATATTAAAAGTTAATTTTAAAATAAAAAATTAAATCAATCAATTAAATTAAAAAATAATAACAATAAAAAGGATTTCAGCTCTTTATAACTATATTTTGACTGCTTTCTTTTCAGAAACGTTGAAAAGACAAAAAAAACAAAAGAGAAAAAACATAGAATTAACTAAAAAAACTGAAATCTAAATCTACCCTACCATTCTTTACCCAGTCATTCAACTCAAGTTATTCAACACAACCCAGAGGCCCTCTACCCCATCATTCAACTCAAGTTACTCAACACAACCCAGTGGCCTCGTTATTCTTCTTTTTCTTCTTCTTAACTTCTTTCCTTTTCTTCTTTTCCTCTTTTTTTTTCTTCTTCTTCTTTCTTCCTCATATCTTCTTCTACCTGCTCTTTTCTTCTCTTCCTCTATGTCACTTTCTCTCCTCTTTCTCTCTCTAATAATAGAGAGAGAAATCTCCCTCTCTAGCTTACTCTTACTCTTTCAACCCCTCACTCTCTCCCCCATTATCTCTCTAAAAATAGAGAGAGAGAAAGTACTAAGCCCCCTTTCCTTTCTCTACTCATCTCCCTACATCCCTATCCTCCCCTTTCTCTTTCTCTTTCTAAAATTAGAGAGAGAAAATCATTATCTATCTCTAAACAGAGATAGGAAGTCCTTTCTCTCTCCTTATTCTCTCCATCACTCTACATATAGAGAAATAATTTCTCACTCTCTTTCTCTTTCTACAAAGAGAGGAAAATCATTTACCCATCTCTTTTTCATTTTATAGAAAGAGAGAAGCCCCTCATCCCATCCTCTCTCTAAAAAAGAAGGAAAAAAGGTTAGAAAAAGAGAAATAAAAGGAAAAAAAATCATGCATTGTCCGATCGTTTTGCCTATATCATCATTGTCGTCGCGCACCTGAAGGTATAATGTTCATAACCCGTTAAAACTCCAAAATTCTAGATGCGATGTGTTTGGCGTGATGAGCATAACCCAAACATGCTTTTCTTAGCCGACAATTAAAACTATAAGTGATGCTCACGACGTGACGGGCAAGTTTTGTGTGAGCTTTTCTTAATATTGTGGGGTAAATTTAAATACCCGTGCACGTTTTTCTTGATGTGGTGTGAAAATACTGAGTTGCAAATAAGTATTTAAAGACTCATGCACGTCTTTCTTGGCTGGTAGGATTGAAGGCTCTGGTCGTAGTGTCCCATGGCATCGATCATGCACATGTTCTTTTCATTGTACGAAGGTCCAACATACTCGATGACACCCTATATGCGGGAAAAATGTCGGGATGTTGTCGAAATTTACAATAACAAAGGACTCGAACACAACTTGAAAAGAACCAAAATGAATTAAAATTAAATTAATAAAATAAATAAATTAATTAAAAAATTATGAGACTAAAGTTGCAAAAATGAGAAGAACACTAAACTGGGATTTGTTGTGAACTTAATATGTCACCAATGAGCACAAACCAAAAGCCCCCCTCTGCTCCTAGGACACTTGCTAACGCTCAAGATTTTGGAAAATGCACACCCTTCGATCTGAACTCTGGGTGAAAATGAACCAAATGGGGCTCCATATTTATAACCTAAAAATCATCTATGGGGCGCACTGAGCTAGAATCCAATCATATAATGATGAGGAAGGTACACAGATAAAAACATATTGAGATCCATTTCATGGTGCTCTTGTTTGGAATCCCGATACAATTACAAGCAGACAAAAATACAATTGATAATGCACCTAAATACGATGTAAAATAACGGGTGTGATACCACGACAACACATTCATGTGAACAACTATTATATCTAACCCTTACAAATCTCTGACAATTGTTTTATATGAATGCCTCTGAACAAAATAAAATGAACAAACCATATTGTTTTATTGCTTATGGACTCTACTGATGCATACTATTACCGCATGTGAGTTTAATTATTTATGTATTTATTCATGATCTTGTGAATTCTACTGCTATGATTTGACTACTGATATGCATATTACTCCTTTGTCGTACTTTGAGTTCAATTGTAAAATTTGGTTACTTGTTACACTCTTGAGCTCATTATATGTAGTTAAATAATTTCATATCAGAATAAAAGAGCAAGGGTGTGAGATTGATCAAAACTTTCAAGTTCAAGTTCTTGTTATTTTAGTTATTCTTTTGAACTCATGACAGAGTAATAGTGATATAATTATATAGATCATATGTAGTATATATGCTTTTTAGGAAAATGAATACATATGTGTATATTGATGTTTTGATCGATACTTTTATTTTCATTTGTAGTTATATTAATAAAAGAAATTAGATAGTTCTTGTTGTTGTATATTAAAAGATAAAAAAATAATTCTTTTAAATTAGATCCTGGGGCGTCACACATTTCATTTAAGATTCAATTGGAATACTAAGTTCAATTGCACAACTCATGAATGAATACTAAATTGGGAACCAGTACTAGCAAGCAAGTGTTATGAAAGACCAGGTCACATTATAACTCTTTACAACCTTCCTGTGGGTCTTAGAGCATAATTCATGGGTAGAAGAGGAGAGTGAAAGGGGGCGGTGTTAGGAGGTTAGTTCCTCCAGAAAGCTATTTTTATGCTGTTGGCATAAAAATTTGTTGAGACCTTAATGTCAGGGTTGTTATGGCATGGTTTTGAGTCAAAAAATAACCCAAAGGGCTGGCGCGGCTGAGTTATTATGCTGGAAGGATCCTCAAACAGTTCAAATAGAAGAGTTTTACTTCATAACATGAACTTTTAACATTTATAATGGATATCATTCTTTGTTTTGATTTTACAAATGAAAAGTATAATAATACTGAAAACCAACATCCAAAGTATAATAATATAACAATTCTACTTCCACATTTATTCAAAACCATATTAATCTGTTTATGTAGTATGATGAACGCATTATCCGAAGGACTTTCCTTGGCGGGCTCGAGTGGATTGAGTCAGCAGACATTTCTTGATATATTGGTAGAGAAACCAACCCAATCTGATGCAAGTTTCAATATGACTGCGGCTTCGTTTGGGACAGTTTTTTTGCTATTTTCTAAAGCAGTTTTTTAGTACTAAAAAGCTGTTTTAGAAAGCAGTGAAAAAGTTGTCCCCAAACGGAACCTGATTTGAAAATGATAACGTTATAATGTTTAAATTGTTCTCTGTCCAGGACCTTGGTGCCATTGCTAATCCAATGTTTAAGCTGAAGGGTCCTGCCATGATCCAAAGCAGTTATCCACCTGCCTTTCCTCTCAAGCACCAACAGAAGGATATGAGGTTAGCTCTTGCTTTGGGTGATGAAAATGCAGTCTCTATGCCAGTTGCTGCTGCTGCTAATGAGGTAATGCTTTTTCCCATTACTAAAGCTTCGTTTGGGACAACTTTCTTACTGTTTCTTAAAGTAATTTTGTAGTACAAAACTTTAAAATTTTGTACTGAAAAACTGCTTTAAGAAGTAGTAAGAAAGCCGTCCCAAACGAAACCTAAATTTACATACATATCCGAGTTTTTATATATTTACATATCTAACGTTTAAATCTTATATTTATATATATCATATCATAGTATTTAAATCATATCAAAATCTGGACATGAAAAGTATATTTCATGATAGATAAGTTAATATTGATGAGAAGATTGATGTGCTATATAAATATATATTAAATATTTAAATACATAAAATTTTTTTGATATATATATGTATATATCTTCTAAAGATTCTTTATATCATTTTGCTCTCTTTATATTGAGCTATTGTTTTGTGCGGACACTGGACGGTTCTCCCGTCCGGTTCCGCGCTCGGTATATTTTTGGTGCGGCATGGTGCAGTTTTATTGGTCTCCGGACGGATTTGAACCCGCGCGGAATAATTTTTCCTTTATATATTTGTTTCTCTCCTTGATTGCTCATATTTCCTTTGGTTATTTTGTTTCCAGGCTTTTAAGAAGGCCAGGAGCCTTGGCCTGGGGGACCTTGATTTCTCTGCAGTGCATGAGATTGTGAAAGTGGCAGGGAGTTCAGGTGAGGCCAAGTGATTTCTTAGTAAATTATATGAATTGAATGGCATCATTTTTTTGTGCTTCCCTTTTTTCCTATGCTGCACTTGAAATACATTTTGTCATCAAACCTTTTTTTTTTTTTCCAAATGTTTTGGAATACAAATGATTGAATTGGAGTTCTCAAATTGTTGGTAGATTTTGGAGCTTTTGATTGCCCAATCTTCATGTACATATAAGGTGTTATGCATCGATGTCGGATAGGGTTTCTTTGGCTTCGTTTGAGATAATTTTTTACTGTTTTTTAAAATAGTTTTTTTGTACAAAAATTTTTAATTTAAAAAAGTTGTGTTAAAACCGGCTTTAAAAAGCAGTAAAAAAGTTATCCCAAATAATGATTTAAGGGTCTACTTGGGATAACTTAGGCTTCGTTTGAGACAGCTTTCTTCCTACTTAAAGCGGATTTTAGTATAAAAATTTTAATTTTGTACTAAAAAGTTGTTTTAAGAAGCAGCAAGAAAATCATTCCTAACAAATTGGCTTTTCAGAACGCTACGCTTCTGTTTATCTATAATTTTTTGGCCGCTCTAAAAAAATTTGTAGTGAGAATGTTTTATAGAAAAATTTCATATATATCACAGAAAATTTTATATATTTAACATCTAAATTTTTATATTTTTTTATATAACATTCAAATTTTTAAATCACATTTAAATACCATTAATATTTATTTATGTAAAACATAAATGCATATTTTTTTGATATGATTTAAACATTTAAATGATATATAAGTAAATACAAATATTTAGGTATTTGATATGTTGATTTATAAAAATTTGTTATGTGCGTAAATTTTATTTTTTTTATAATTCTATCTATTTGAATGTGGTATTTATTAAAAATCCATTCTTCAAAATTTTTGAATAAAAATTATCATAATATTTTCTTCATAATCATTCTACAATTATATTTTTATAAAAGTTATAGCCCTATTAAAAATAATTTTGCCTTTACTATTACAACACAATTTACATTATGGTTTTTAAAAAAATAGTGAAAAAAGTGATTATGTTTCCAAAAGGAAAAATAGTTAAAAATTATTATCAAATTAAATCCTACAGCTTCCTAAATTATAACCATTTTTGTTTGTTTTATGATATTTAAGAGTTAATTTATTAAAAAAAGGGAAAAAATTTTATTTAATATGATCAACTAATTAAACGCTAAACTTTTAAAAATAAGATAACAGTGAATGACTCAAAATTATATACATATAACTCCATTCTTTTCAAAATCATTAAAAATAGGCTGAAATAATTTTTTTTTACTATTTTTTAACATATACACCATTTCTAGTATGACTCTTACTCAAATACCAAAGTTTAAATCCTAAGCAATCAATTTCCTTAGCCTTCTCTCTAACCTATTTAGTTTCCTGAATGCAGAAAATATTTAACTTCGTATGAATCATAATATTTATTAATTACATTAATTTTCCTGTAATGGAATCTATATTCCAAATTCATATCTTAATTTTAGTTTCATGTTTTTTAATTTCATGGACTAACTTTTTTGCCCACATTGGTCATTGATGTGACCTTGCCTATTTAACACAGCACCTGGGCACTGGTGCAGCAGCCCTTGCACATTTGTCACTGTATTCAGGTCATACAGCACGTCGCTTCCAAGGGACGCACTAACATTAACACAATTTTCTTAAATGATTCATATCATTATCATTCGACAAGTTTTAGTAAAAAATTTAAGTACAAAAATTTTCTATATCAAAAAATTGTTTTATAAAGCAGTAAGAAAGACGTCCCAAACTAAACCATAATGTGTGCATAATTTAAATAATTTAAATCAACATTTCATCAATCAAAGGCATAATTTTTTTTTAATAAATGATTTTGATTACATGAGAAGATAATTGTGATTTCAAAATATATAGATATTCAAATTAATAAAAAAAATATATATATTATTTGATAACTCGCATTTATTTAATGATTTATGTTAACCAATGTCATGGATAAAAAAATCTAAAATTAGCTCATAAACCTATATGAGGATGGAGAAAAGAGGACAATTCTGTGAAAAATGATATATTAACTCAGGGATCTATAGAAAATACCAAAAGATAAAAAATATTATTCTCCATCCCTTATTTATTGGAATTCAATGGTCAAAAAATGTTACATAAAAAATATTAAAAGCACAATAATTAGTGACCAATAGTGCAAATTGTTCTAGACACATGATATTTCTGATATAAGCACATTGTCCACAACAGTTCAAAATGAACCATAGACCTTCATATATGAATAATAAAATGAAATAGAAGATAACACCAAACAAATTTAATAGAGGAAATGATATAATACAAAAGAATGCAAGTTATAAAAAAGCTTCATTCCCTCCAATTCCCCCCAAAGAAAGCTACACAAAAGAATAAAAACCAGGAAGAAAAAGAGAAGTTAAGGTGAGAATCTAACACTTTATGTTGAAGTTAGCCAGTAGTGCTAAACAGTATGAAGTATTTAGCTTCTTGAAGTCGTAGAATTAGTAGGCGTAATGGTCATTGTTGTAATGGTGGTGGTGGTGGTAGCTGATGACGATGACGAAGTAGATGCCATATTGTTAGGATTGGCGGCGAAGGCACTATTAGTAGCATAAGAGGACGCACCGGAGCTCATCGCAGAAGATTCGCCCGTTGTGTAGCTGGAACGCCCGAGGCCATGGGATCTTCTTTTGTGTTTGGAATAAGGGATCCCTGGTTTGATAGGCTCCTCGAGCGGGCCTGGCTTCTTTGAAAGGACCACTACTACACGGCGCATATCTGGCCTCAACTTGGGGTTAGCCTGGGTGCAGAGGAGGCCTATTTGCACGCACATAGCCACCTGCTCAGCATCGGCTGTGGATCTCAATGCAGGATCAAGCATATCCATGGTATTTTTTTGGGTATAAAACATCCAAGCCTAGAAAAGAATAAAATCCAAGCTTAATACAAATCAGCTAAGAGAATACAAATTGAAAGAAAAGTATGATAAAAGCACAAGGCTCCTATCAAAACTTGGAGTCTTGAAAAGAGTTTATGTATGCAGCTTTATATCTGCACTAATAGATTAATTCTGTGATTTGAACATGTTATTCTGAGGTTACAGTAGACGCAAGTTAAGAACTTCTTCAGCATCACTTATATAATGCAATTGAATAGATATTATACAATGCTTTCTATATAGAGGCTTTTTGGTTGGAAATAAATTAGGTGTAAAGCATTCCTTTTGCAAGGATTTTAAAAATATTGGTATTTGGTCGGATAAAAAATGAATGCAATGTAAGGTATTATAATTCATTTTTGTAAGGTATTATAATTCATTTTTGAGATAAAGTAAACTCGCCCAATTTAGAACAGACAGTGATTAATAATGCTTTTATACTCAAATCATAAAGGATATGTATGCATGAGCTGTTATTTTTGTTCAAACACAAGGAGGCTGGATCAAGTATTTCCTATTTCAGTTGAATTAAAATTATTAAATCAAGGATTAGCTTTAAGCCTATATCTTTTTTCTTTAGTCATGGATGTTCTTACTAAACATTTGCAGGATGATGAACCCTGATATATGCTTTTTGTTCATGATAATCTTCTTGCTGATAAGACTAGGAGTTGAAGGTAAATTGGAATTCCAAAGAACATACATAGGGACTTGATTCACCCTCCTTTTCAACCAATATGATTTCCAGAGAACATACATTGGAATTCCAGTTGAAGGTAATCTACTTGATTCACCCTCCTTTTTCAGCCAATCTGATTTCCAGAGAACATACACAAGGGACTAACTTTCTAAGGGTTGAGGATCCTTGGAAGGAATATAGTTAGAAGACTTGTTTTAAGGGTGTATGAGGATGCCATTAAACAAGTGAGACCTTAAAATGATTTGCTTATAGAAATAAATCATCCTGAACATGTAGCAAGAGATGTTGACATTGTATCAGCCATCATCATCACAAGCCCTGTCCCAACTATTGGACTTTTATATTAGGCTAGATAAGATTTATATTTTTTTATAGGATTTAAGCTCTCAATTTTATTGTTTCAAAATATTTAAGTCAAATCTCACTCAGGGGCGGAACCACGGCTATGCCAGGGGGGGCAAAAAAAAATGTAAAATACATATTAATGCTAGGTTATTTAGTAATTTCCCAGTACAGCATATTAAAATTGTCCTAGCCCATCTTTCTCACCCAATTCCGCCCGCTTCTTCTGTCAAAGACTCCACAGCTTCTTCTCCCCTTTCTCTTTTTTCTCTCTTCTAATCTCTTCATTTCCTCACTTGTAGAAAACAACGGGCAGAGAGAATGAGAAAAAATTATACCTGGAAAAGCATATTTGTAAGGCTTATTTCTCTTCTGTAATTGCATAAATGCCTTAAATTTTGTCGAATCAGTTTAAGAAAGCATTCACATTTTGTAATTTATTTTTTAGTTGGGAAGGCATTTCTGTAAGATCCGCCAAGGAAGCACATTTCTTCATTCGCAGATTTTAAATGGTTTATAGTTAAATTTTCTGAAACAGAAAGCTTGGAATCTCGTTAACTTTGCCACTGTAGCATCAAATATACAATTTATTCTTGTTGTTTAATGAGACAAAGGACAAAATTTGTGTTAAGGTTATCTTATTAAATGTGATTATGATTTTTTTTACCTATAGGATTTGTTTTAAAATGATTGAAATTTATAATTAATCAATTAATTTTTAAGACGATTGATATAGTGGGTTCTTCTTCTCTTATAACTTCTTCTCTTAAAATTTTGCCCCCCCCCTATGATGAAAAGCTAGTTCCGCCCCTGATCTCACTTAAATCTTGCCTTAAAGCTCTACCAAACAGTCTCTAAATCAAAATAAATGAGTTAAGGGCCATGTTCAAATCAAGATTGGCTGGGCCAAGCTAGATTGGGATGAGTTGAGAATAACAGATCAAAAAGCTTTGAGGTAATACTGCAACAGAGATTGGATTGGCTTAAGATCAGATCGTCGACAACGTTCATGATAGGCTCAAAAAATTAGCAGAATCCTATGCAGTTATCATCAACTCAGCCAGAAATCATTCATTCAGCTCTCTAGCAAAGCATTCTAACTAACAGTCGAAAATTAGGGTTTTAAAAGACGAAATGCATAATTAAAAAAGAGAGTTTGAAAAAAACACATACCCATTCAAGGAGTGTAGAAGCATCATGGCGCGGAGAAAACCTAGAGTTCTTCTGACCAGAGACGAGCTCAATAACGAGTACGCCAAAGCTAAAGACGTCGACTTTTGGCGATAGAGCGCCACTCATGAAATACTCCGGCGCCATGTAGCCATTGGTGCCGGCAATGCGGGTTTGGACATGGGTGAGTTCCTCCGGGAAGAGCCGGGCCATGCCGAAGTCTGCGATTTTTGGGCTCCAACGCTCGTCGAGAAGGATGTTGCTGGCCTTTATATCCCTATGAATGATGGGAGTGTGCGCGTCTTCATGGAGGTACAGAAGACCTCTGGCTACCCCTACGATCACCTCGAACCGCCGCCTCCAATGGAGAACCTCCGCCGCCGCCGCCACCTGCCCACCTTGCCCTGTTTCATCTCATCATTTTTGCATGAAAGCCCTATGTAAATCATTTGGAGATTACCTCTGGGCTTTTAATTCAAGCTAATAAATAAAATTAATGGGAGATTTACATAAGTGAAATTTACAATTATTAAGTAATATTAATTTAATGAATGCAATGAATATAATATAATTTATTTTTATTAAAAACGTGAATTAAGAGAGTAAATTATAGTTACTTGTTATTAAAAATAATTGAATTAAGAGTATAGATTGTAATTAGAATAAATAAATATATTGAGTAGATTATTATTAGATAGTAATAAAAATAAATTAATTAATAGAGTACATTATAATTTTTTTTGTAATTAAAATAAATGTATTTGATCATCATATTTTATTTTGTTATAAATTATTTATAAAAATAAATGACTTAAGAGTGTAGATTGTAAATAAAATAAATAACTGCATTAAATAATATATGATCATTAAATATATTTATTTTAATTACTAATAAATAATTAACTCACTTAATAAATTTATTTATTTTACTTATAATCTAGACTCTTAAATCAACTCACTTATGCTCCTTAAAATTGCACCATTTTTTTAACAAAAATAACTATTTTTTGTTTTATAATATTTTCTTATGCATATATTTTTAAAAAAGTATGTACATATAAATTTTTTAAAAATAATTAATATTAATACAAACATCATATATAACAGTATTTTTTAGTATTCTAAATAATTGGATGGGACTTAGTGGTCATTTAAATGGCTAAAAAAATTAACTCTCATATATAAAAGATGATTATAATAGAAAATAGTTTTTAAGTAGAAAACACAATAAAGAAAAAAATCAAGGGCTTTTGAAAATAGAAAAGATTTCATTTTTTTTATAATTTTTCATATGAATATTAGCTAGATTTTGTTGCTCACTAACTCAATTTTTTATTTATATTACAATGTTTAATGTTTATATATTGGCAGGTCATTAAAAATCATCTTGATTGAGTATGAATCTTGAAACATATTTGAATTAAAAAATTCTAAAATTAAATTCAGGGCCATCTGAACTTTGATTTCATCATATTTATATTTGAACTGAACATTTCGATAAGATGAATCCAACGATACCAAAAATGATCCTATTTGAGTCTAAATAAGTCTAGATGAAGCACTTGAAACATAATTGAAAATTAGGACACTAATTTGATGAGCTAATGATCTTCATATCTCTCATGCTTATAGTCAGATAGAGCATCTCAACGAGATGAATCCAACAAGCCCAATATAGTTTTATTCTAACATCATTAAAGCACTTACATGCCGAAGAAATTGTCTATGATTAAAGGAATTCATATGTCATTTAATGTAGTGTTTCAGATTTTCTCTATATTTATGAGGCATGCCAAAAATCTATAAATAGGCCTCCAATCTCTACATGAAGTGAGAGAATTAGAGCTAGGATATTGGCTTGAGATTTAAGAGAGCTCAAATGCTTAAAGAATCTCAAAGCTCTACCTAAGCACCATCGCTAGACCACCATCTGATCGTTGTTGGACCACTGTCATCAGAATGCCACCCGACTAATACTATTGGACCACCACTCAACCACCGCCTTCATAACATCTCTAAGCTTTTGCCATCGAAATAATGTTCGACCACTGCTATCAGTACATCACCCGAGAAACATCTTTAGGCCCCACTTAATCAACATTGTTAAACTACCATTGCCCGACTATGGTTCTTCGATAACAATTGCATGACTATGATTCTCTAACCTCCAACCACCATCGCTTGATTACGTTCATCTACCAACAGTTACCCAACTACTGTCCTCTGACCACCATTGCCTAATTACGGTCCTTCAACCCTCATCACCAGACTACGACTCTCTGACCTTCATCTCTCGATTACATTCCTCCAACCACCGTCACCCGACTACGATCCTCTAAGCACAACCACCCAAATATGTCCTCTGACCTTCATTACCTAACTACTGTATTCCAACCACTATCATCTGACAATGATCCTTCAACTAGATCGCCCAATTATAATCCTTTAAGCTCCAACCAACTAAGGCCTAGGTACTACTGCACAATTATGGTCCTACGAACTTAGAAGCCCAATTACGGTCCAATCACTATCACCAAACTATGGTCCTCTTAATACCCGACTATAGTCTCCTAACCATTTTCGCTAAACTACAATCATTCAACCACTTCTACCACCACCGTCCGACTACAGTCCTCCAAACTACATCACCCAACTACAGTCCTCTGACTCACATCACCCTTTTACAATTCTCCGACCAACATCATCTAACTACAATCCTCTAATCTCCATTGCCCGATTACATTCATTCTACCACCATCGCTCGATTACGATCCTTTGACCACCATCATCTGACTATGACCCTCTGTCCTACAGTATTATGACCATTGTCACCTAGATACATTGACAACAATAGACTTGATCACCTACCATCACTAATAATGTCCATGCATGCCATCTTTTATAAGATTGATGCATATCATCGACATCAACTCTAACTCCCGACATTAGTACAAAGATTTAGACTAGACTTCTCAGTCCTGGTTCTTCTCTTCTCAAACAGTACAACAAAACAAACAAGCAAACAAACTGTTAAAAACATTTTCCATGCTACAAGGCCCTTCTAACTTCAACCATGTAATTTGTTTTAAATATTATATGTCTATTAGATTGAATCAATGCAATCCTCCGAGGAAGGACATCATTTGTAACAAGTGACAAACACTAATTGAATCATTTTAACTAAATCAGACCCCATGAGTTTTTTCCTTTGATGGGTTTTCCACGTGAAAACTCTTACAATTTTTATACTCATCTCTTATATGTATGTGTGTTGGATTTTCGTATAAATGCTAATATAAAAAGCTTTTATCTCTGTACCACAACAAATATTTTGGCATGCAACATATATTATGTGTTGTGATGTTTATATGCCTTTCCATATTATGTTGGATGTTATTGTTTGTGAATATTGAATATTATATTGGTTATGAAGGTTGGTAGAATGGTATCTAAAAGTTCATATGCTTCACTACATTGTATGTGTGTTTCCATTAGCATGTTCGAAGTATAGCACAATAGTAGTTAGCACTTGCATGACATATATAACACAAAGTGGCCAAAGTTGGTCATAAAAGGCATATAAGATGCATGTTTGTGATCGGTTCAAGTGGCAAGACAATCATATCATAACATTTGGAATGGCATTTGCAGGGGCGGAACCCCATGGTATTGAGGGGGGCAATTGCCCCCCCCTAAAAAAATTAATTTTTTTTTATTATATGGCTTTTTAGGTTGCTTATATGAGTTTTTACGCAATTGCCCCCCCTAAAAAAATAAAATACAATGATCTTTAGCTGATTGCCCCCCAAGAAAAATTATATACATTGTGTGGAGGTGTTATTATAAGGGTTTTTAGGCAATTGCCCCTATAAACATTTTAAAATATTATGGTCTTTAGGCAATAGTCAAATACAAAGAGAAATAGTAAAGATAATCCAAAAATATCCTTACAAACAAAATCTGTTCTGGGGGCAGCTCCGGTAGGGGCGCTGCCCCTTGACCCCTTGACCTGACCGGGCAGGTCGAACCCCATCAGGGGGTGCTACCCCTTTGGACCCCCGACATATTTGAAAAGCATACAAATATCAAAGATATGAATAAATAGAGATCGAGCCAAATTCAAGGCAACTCCAACATACATTTTGTAGAAAATGAATGATTAATCAATTACACCATTTTGATTTTTTTTTGCAAACAAATCATCCATATTTCAACCAATTTTGTTTGAGATTAATTCTCATTATATATATATATATATATATATTTTTTTTTTGGGACATTTAGGTCAATTAAAGCAAACTTACACATACAACGCTTACACCTCTTAATTGATAGCCAAAACTCATAACCAAAATACCAATATGAGTTGCGTACCCCAAGCCTCTCTCACTCTCCTCTCTTCTTGTTCGAAGTATCTTTTTCATTTTGTAAATGTTTATTCAAATAATAAGATTTCTTATTAAATCTATATGTTTGCTTAATTTTTATTATATTTCTTAATAAATTTTAAAATTCTAGATTTGTGTAATTAGATAAATTATATGATAGATGTTCCATTAGAAAATTACATGTTAGTTTTATGCATCTAGAGATCTTATTAATGACCTTATTATTGAAATTTTAGGTATTTCTAATGATTTTTCTCATTTATATGTCATAAAATAGTTTAGAAATTTTATCATCAAATTAATTAGTGATAATATTAATTTTTTTTAAGGATTTGATATAGAACAAGTATGCAAATCTGTCTCAAAAGCAAGGCTTAAATTAAAAATTAGTTACATAGACAAAGCGTTAATGGAAGAATTTTCAAATTAAAGAATATTCAAATTTGACTGTTCTTCTTTCTCTTGGATGAAGTCATAAATTAGGGAGGAGACCACTCTTTTATCCTATAAGTTTTGTAAAAAAGAGAGCTCATATCAGCGAGAGATTATTCTATGCGGACACCGAACACAGCTTACTGTCCAGAGACGAATTAGGTGCAGCCACATCATCAAGTATCGAGTAATACCGAGCTCGGTACCGAGCAGTACTGAGCCGCGGTACCAAGCAGGGGATGATGTGGCACATTTTCATTGGGATCTGGATGACGGTGTCCGCACAAAATAATTTGCCCATATGAAGGGGTGAGCTCATGTGGGTAAGTTTTGTTGGTGGTTTGTTTTAAAATACTTATTATGTAAATTTAATGCGCATTATAAAATTTAAATATGTTAAATCTAAATTAATTTATTATATTTAATACTATTTTATACTAAATTTATTAAATTAATTTTTTGATTTTTTAAATCTAATACCATTGAACCATCAAGTTCTAAGGGACCGAGACGAGTTCAACGATTTGTTGGTCGAAACGACAGTTCTGATCAGTTTAGGATGGTTTTTAATATGAACGGAACCGACCATATGATCAGTTAACGGTTGAACCAAATGAATCAGCCAGTCCAATCCAGTTTTCAAAACCATGACTTTCATTTGTAATTTCAAATTTTATCTAAATTGAAAATTGGATCATAGTTTTAATTTATGTTCATTTGTATTTAACTTAACTATATAATATAAATATTAAAACTCAATAATGTTGAATGTATAATACACTATTTTTTTTGGAAAAAAATGATTAACAAATAAGAGTTCGAGTTTTTCATTTAGGTGGAATGCAAGCAACAAGTTCTTATTTTGAAGGAAAAAGTTAGATGTCATTATTTTAAATATAAGATACTAAAAGTACTTGCATATAGCCGATCCTGTAACTCAAACGACACTATTAGACTATTAGTGGATCCTCTCTTCCTAATAAAAATAAAGTAGAGGCAAATGTGGCAAAAACGGCTATACAGATGGCCACATTGTACACTATCCTACTCACCCTAGAATTTCCGTACAGAGAAACAGACAAACAGCCCGCATAAAATAAACTCTATCGGTTCAGCCAACAACTCCCGTTTTCTCCGTACTACAATGAAGGGTAAAATTGTAAAAAAAAAAAAATCATATGATAATATCCTAATATAATTTATATTAAAATAAGAATTTTTTTTTTATCTGGGCTTTCTTAAATTCGGATCAGAGCACTTTTTGTGCAGGTGTCAATTCGGATCAATAGGCTGAGTTCGGGTAGAATCCGATTTGATCAAGCATAAGCGGATTGACTCGAATCCTACCCATTTAGCTAAAAGGGCAAGGATTCCTAACTTGCACCCGACCCACACGGGTTGTCGGGTTGACCCGATGGGCGTAGTTGAGAGTCGCGAAATAAGGGTGAAGTGTAACTAGGTTGGGCGTCGAGCCGTCGATGCGTCGTGGCCACATGGGCGAATGGCGACTAGGCTGACCGATTGAGCGCGTAGGGCTTGGGCGTCGACGCGTCATGGGCGCCTAGCGGGTCTACTGGCAGAGGCGGATAGCTGGAGTCAAGTCTGGGCCTCGAGCCAATGTCCGGTGAAGCCGTAGGTGCGGACATGAGGCCCGTGGCAATTGGGCTAAGCGGAGAGCCGGAGATGAGGGTCACGACGCTAGGTCAAGCCGTCAAGGTCGTGAGTTAGCCGGGTTGACCCGCGAGTTTTCGGGTCAACCTGAACCCGACCCGTTTTTCGTACGGGTCAAAAAACCGAATCCGAACCCTGATTTTTTCGGAACGGGTCAACTTTTGACACCCCTAACTTTTTTGTGTCATTGAGTTCATCTCATTGAGCCAATCAATCTAACTATAATCTTATAATCTTATTGAAATCAGAATTATAATTTCCCCAAAAAAAAATCAGAATTACGATGGTCATTGATTTAATTCTAGAAACTTCAAATTTATATATGCATATAGATCAAGTTGGTTTTTGATAATGTCTTAATTTTTATAATAATATTTAAATTTATATGAAAAAATGTAAATTTATCTTATTTAGCAATTTAAATTTTATAAAATTGAACATTAAATTTCAGATATTAGATAGGTAAATAAATGAGAATGCAATGGCAAGTACGTAAATACACCCTTAATCTTATCATTAACAGCATTATTAGGGGGAGAGAGGCGGCGGCTCACCGGAGAAGAGGAGCTTGTCAAGGCTCTCGTTGGCTACGTACTCGTACACAAGCAACTTGTCTTCCCCGTGGGCGCAGTAGCCGTAGAGATTAACGACGTTCTTATGCTGCAACCGAGAGAGCAGCATCGCCTCGTTTGTGAACTCCTTTCCACCCTGCCGGGACCCTCGCCCGAGCCTCTTCACGGCGACCAGCCGCCCATCCTCCAGTTGCCCCTGCTCCCCAATCAGACATTTCATCAAACACTTGGTGTGCAACAGAGCAACAGATCTATAGACCATAGAAAGACCGGGATATTTGGCTATCATGCAATAAACTAAATCACCTTGTACACAGGGCCGAAACCCCCTTCGCCGAGCTTGTGCTTGGGGCTGAAATTGCGGGTTGCGGCAGCTAGGGTTTCGTACCGAAAGGATTTCTGCTCTCTGGCAGCGATCGCCTCCAGGTCCTTTTTATCCGATTCTGCAACAACGCAATCGATTCAGACCGTAATCAAATGAAGATTCGTGGCTTCAAAAGAGGGGAAGTAGAAGTAGACCTCTACGTTGACGGCGAGTGAAGGGCTTCAGGAGATTTTCAAGAATTTTCTTTAGCTTCTTCATGAGAGAAGCGGGGGTTAGGAGAGACGAAAGGGAGAGGAGAAAGAGGGAGGCGGCGGGGTTGAGGAAGGGAGCGGGAGCTATCCCATCCTCTGTAGGTGTGAAAAGCTTTTTTTCCTCCGTCTCTTCTTTTCATCCTCGCTCGTGGAAAGAAGAGGCTTCCGCCTATACGATACTGTCGTTGGAGACCTTCAAGAAGGGCCCCGATGACGACCGGCGGATCCCAGTTGATGAGCTGGCCTTGCGCAAGCATACTGCGACCCACATGTGTGCTAACACTGACGTATTTTGATTGTTCTACTCAGGGAACTTTTATTTGGTCCGGTCACAGTACGTAGCTCTACGTTCGGCCGTCAATAGAATCGCATCATGCGTTCTCATTATTTATCGCGCGCCCGACAACCCGACTCGGAACGGACCCAGGATGGCTCGGTATTTCTCAATTTTGCTAGGTATTGCTAGGTATTGATCGATTTTGCTTGGCAATAAACCAATACCGAGCAATACTGAGCAAATACCGAGCAATACCGAGTTGTACCGAGTTTTTCTAAAAAACTCGGCACAACTCGGTATTTCTAAAAAACTCGGTACAACTCGGTATTTCTAGCAAATACCGAGTTTTTCTAGAAAAACTCGGTAAGAAAAAACTCGGTACAACTCGATATTTCTCGGTATTACTCGGTATTTGTCTTCTCAGAGCGGTATTTCTCGTTATTGTCAAACAATACCTAGCAATACCGAGTAATACCTCGCAATACGCGAACATAGCATTCTCGGGTTCCGGTCCGGGTCAAGTCGTCGGACCACGCGGTAAAGAGTAAGAGCACGTGGCGGCATATCATTGGCGGCCGAACGTAACTCTACATCCAGTAAGAGGACGTAATTATTGTTCCTTCTCAGGAGACCAATTAGAATGCGTCGCATTAGCAATATCAAGTCGGGTAACAGGCAGTATCGAGCCGCGGTATTGAGCAGTACCGAGCTGGGTACCGAGCAAGGGTAACGTGTCGCATTTTGGATGAGCTGGCCTTGCGCAAGCATATTGCAACCGATATGTGCACTATAGAATTCTTATATATTTATGGCCAATTTATAACAAAGTGTGTGCTTTAAATTTAAATTAGCTTAAGAATAGATTAATGAATAAATTTAAAAATGAGTAAATACGGGACTTAATTATGGAAATCGGTACTGAAATTTGAGAAGAAACCGTAATTATGATTTCTTCAGGTTTCCTAAGTTATCTATTTATATTATATTGTTTTGGTTTATTCCGTTATTTAATTAGATAATCTAAATGAATAAATAGTAATTAGGAACCAATCAATATTTACAATTGTTAAGAAATAACAGATTTAAATTTTATTTAATTTTGATTTTTTAAAATTTTTATTCAAATTTCTTTAGTTTTGAATTTAAATTTCTTTGTTGGAATATTTGATTTGATTTATGTTTAATTAATGGATTTTTTTATTTAATATTTTAAATTTTTTTATTTTTTTAATGTATCCTTTTTTTTTATTAGATTTTTAAATTTATTTTTAATTAAAATGTTATTTTTTTAAATTGTTAATATTTATATTATTTAAAAGCCCTATCCCTCATCAAATATACCACTCCGTTTCTCTCCCGTCAAAGCCAAACCCCGAAAGCCGTATTTGGCGCGGAATCGTCTTTTCCAACTTGTGTGAATACATCCGAACAGAGCAGCTCCCTTTCTTGCATTTGAATCCCCGAAGCTCCAGCTCAGTCGACATTTCGTTGATTCCAGCCATTAAATTGAAATAGAGGCAGAAGCTGCCAAAAGCCATCTCAGAAGAACGTCAAACATATGAAGCAACCACAAGGATCGACTGAGTGATCAAACAAATTGCAAAAGAATATGCTTGTGCCAGATTTGTTTTCCTTCATACCTTTTTCATTTCAAAACTTGAAGAGAAAATGTTTGTAGAAAGAAATGGAGACTTGTTTCAGATGAAGCGTAATTAGATTCAAAATATAATACACTAATTTCAGGAAGAAGCAACTTTCGAGCGGCATGGATAAGACGACCGAAGATGGGAGTTGCTCGATCGATCATCGGATGGAGAAACGATCGTCGTGGGCGGCGTGGAGAAGACAGCCGGCGTGGGCAACGTGGTGCACATGGAGAAGAACATCAAAGAGCAAAGAAGAGCTGACTGAGCCAAGATGAGACAATAGCGAAGCAAACGTGTGCAAAATACAGCTTTCGGGGTTTGATTTTGACATGAGAGAAATAGAATGATATATTTAATAAGGGATGGAGCTTTTAGGTGGTAAAAGGGTAAATACTAAAGTTTAGGTGTTAGATAAGTAAATACTAAAGTTTTAAGTGTTATTTATGTAAAAATCCCATTTTTAAATCATATATTAGTAATGATGATTATATTGAATCCAAATTTATTAGTAGAACATATTAACTTTACTACTAAGACTAATTAGAATGATTAGTGGAGAAAGAGAGATGATGAATAAATTTTTATTTTTGAAAGTAAGTACAATATTGTAAGTTCTGGTTACTAAGAAAATATCACCAAAATGCATCTTAATTAATTTTTTTATAGGATTGAAAACATTGCATAGGAGTTTATATATGAAAATGTAATAAAATAGTATAATATTTGGCCGTTATAAATATGTGAATTGACTAGTATAATGAGACAGCTCACCTTAGTCTGTTGGTTGAGAGCTTAGGCTTCCAACTAAGAGGTTTTGGGTTCGAGTTTTTGTGTGTGTGAGTTTGCCTTAAATGACCTAAATGTCCAAAAAAAAAAACCTAGATCATGTCCTAATTAATGCTCGCAATGATTGCAAATTGGTGAGTGCTTTTGGTGAGTACCTTTAGCATGTGGCTTTAGTGAGTATCTTTGTTGAGCTCTTCAATAGGATTTACTCAAAATATTTTATATTCATCCTTCAAAATTTATATATAATAACCAAGAACCCAATTTACAGCATCATCCTATCACTCATCATTCTCGATTACGAAAAAAAAAATAAAACTAAAATACAATCCCTAATAATTTGTTTAAATTCTTAAATTGTATATTTGTATTCAATAGGGTTTTTGTTGTCTATCGTTATATCATTTTGTGACATTTAGAATATGATTATTTTTTTATTACGGTAATGAAATGAATTATATGTTTTACTGTATAAAAATGAGAAATTTTGTGAAAATGTGAAAGAGAAGGAGGAAGTTCTAGTGCATATGAGTCATATTCTGGTGGCTAAAAGTTAAATTCTAAGGCATACGAGTATATTTTAGTGGCTAAAAGTCGTGTTCCGGTGCCTACGGGGATTTTCTGGTGCTATAAACATATTCTGTTTTGGTGATGAGTACTGAAATTTATGAGGAGAAATTTTGTTACTTATCGATCTTAGATATAAAGTGTATGTTTATTTACTTCCCTATAATAAATTTTAAATTTTTTTATTGCATGTACAATTATTCTCAGTGCATTTACTATCATAAAATACTTTTATAATCCAGCTATCTATTTTAATAAATAAATTAATTAAAAATATATATCAGTTAGAATATGGTCTACTGAGATGTGTTTGCTCACAGATGTTTCGCTTAATATTTTTAGGGTCTGAAAAAGAGAATGAGCAAGTTGAGTAGTAGTTTCATGATATGAATTGAGTTTGTATAAGTATTTTGTCTTTTGATTTTTGTACAATCATGACTTGTCTGTTATAATTTGTTTAGTACTTTGGTAGTATTCATGTACTGTAATACAATTATTGTATATACATTTTGATGAGAAAATAAAAATTATGTGCTTGATATTATTTACAGTGCTGGATGCTATTAGTAACTCTGCCATTTTAAAGTTTATATTGAAAGAAAATATTAAAAAATTTTAAAACACAGATCTTGGGGTGCTCCAAGCTAACATGATAGAATTTGTTCAGTCTGTGTATTTTATCGGATTGAGTTGTGACATTAATGATCTCACCTAACAAGTGCCTTTTGATGAGTACATTTGATGAGTTCCTTTTGTGAGTGCCTTTGATGAGCGCTGCACCGACTGAGGAGGGCATAATCGGTATAGTTAAATATGGGTAAGTGAGTGCCTCATAATGATGGGGCATGTGGTCCTTTGAGATTGTTTAAGGTGTTTGTTTCCTTAGGGTGTTCCTTAGTCGCGCGTGCCTTTGGGATAGGGGTGTAAACGAGTCAAGTCGAGCTCGATTCACTGCAAGTTCAAGCTCGACCGTCACTGAAATTAAGCTTGAGCTGGGGTGGAGTCTAGAAAACAAGCTTGAGCTTGGCTCGATTATATGTACTCCGGCTCAAGAGCTCGACTTGATACACAGCGGCCGAATTTATGCTCGTTGAATGAACTCACAGACCGCGGTTGAGCCAAACAACGGGAGTGTTCTCTGTCGAACCTTCGAATATCAAATTTCTAGAAGAAGAAGGAAGCTGATAATCTGGTACAATTTTTTCTTTTTCTTTTCCTTAAAAAAGCTAACAAATATTTTATTTTGGGTAAATAAGTACAATAAAATTAATGTGATAGGACATTTGCTTTTAAAATGTTATTGGTTTATACATTACTATTAAATATTATTATTAAATATTTATAATTTAGATAATAGTTTTTAATATTTATTGCACCAAAAAAATATTTTTCAAATACTTAATTTATTTAAACCGTCTACGAGCTGACGAGTTTAGTTTAATCAAACTCGAACTCGAGCTCGATTAATAAAAACATAATACTTATGGAATGTATATGTAAATCTCTCAATTTTTACTTGTGAATGCCAAAATACCAAATTAATATGTCCTTCGATATATGGCAACCTATGTGAATGATATAAAATGAATATTTTATTAAAATATCTTTATATAAATTATATCAAGATCAATTTGAAAAACATATCTTGATACATATTATCTTATTAAAATATTTAATTTATTTTATTAAAATATCTTGATACAATTTATTTTCATGATAAAATGACTTTTTGGGCATTTTAATTGGGATTTAATAACAACATAAAAGAAATAGGATTAAAAAGAAATATTTTTTTAAATATTAGATGTTTTATGTCTTGATGTCTTTGTTTATTTAAATTCTAAAAAAATAGTAATTATTATTTGATTTTTGTATGCTCCTCATTCAGAAATTAAAGCTTTGAATATTTATTGTGAAAATTTTCTTTTCATTGCTAAATCACATAACTATTATGTACTTCTTATTAGAAAAATAGAAGTGCATTAACTAATGAAGCAATCTAACAACTTTTGCTTCTAGAAGCAATTTAGGCTTCATTTGAGAGGGCTTTCTTCCTGCTTCTTAAAGTAGTTTTTTTTACTTTAAGAAGCAGTAAAATAGTCATCGCAAATGAAACTTAGTTATATCAGAATATTCTCATAAAAAAATTAGAATAGGCTTTAAAATTATTACATCTGCTTCGAGATAAGTACTACAAATAAATAATTGTTATTGCACTCATCTCAAAGCAGACCCAACATCAAAAAATTTAATCAAAACATTCTCATTATTTTTTTTTCTACCTTTAAGAGTAGAGGAGCCCAGTGTAATTGCAAAATCACAACTAACAAATCCATAAATTCATAAATGTTTGAGGGTTGAATTGATTAATTATTTTATAGTCATGCTTATGTAGGCAAGAGTGTCACAATTATCTTCCTTATATCAACCTCCACTAATCATTTTTATAAAGGACTAAGCAACATTTGACCATTTCTTTAGGCTTATAAAAATGCACTTACAATAAGTCTATGATATTATTTTAAAAATATATAGAAGATTTTCAACATATAGAATAATATCATTCATATTTATTGAATTAATGCATTTATTTTAAGAGCTATTGTTACTTAACATAATGTTTTTTTTTTTTTTATGTTGTTAATTGGCAAATGAAAAATATTTTTATTAAAAATGAATAATTTGATGCCTTGTAAGATTTTAAGTATAATAAGAAAATCATAAACTTGGCAAGATTATAAGATATTTTACAAGTTTTTAAATTATATATATATATATATAAAAGTATGAATCTCGAGATAATATATAAATGGAAAGTTTTTTAGATTAATTTAGAGTTATTTAAGTTAGGATTTCAACAAAATTACAGTCGAACTGAACAACTCAACAAGACGAACCTAATAACAATAAAGATGCTTCACTAAATGAGCTCAAATCAAGCTATGAAATACGATTGAAATCTTTTGCAGTCATTTGATTGGCTACTTCGTGTTTCGTCTGCTCTCCCTTTAAATTGGATGGTCCGTGCCTGGTATTGGAGTAGTTGGAAGTCTCTGTCAAATACTGAGCCTAATGGGTTTTTATGCCTTTGTATCTTATGTTCCTTTTAATCGTTCGGTTTATCTGCTTCATGTACTCCTTTTTCTATTGTAATAAAATATGTTTTTATGTTCAAGAGATGGCTACCTGTATGGGTAATTCATCTGGTTTGACGATTAGAAAACAGGGAGATTGGCTGATTGATTCGTCGGATATTGAATCGGAGTCTGAGTTTAATGATTCTGACAATGATTTTGCGCTTGTGTGTAATAAAAATGTTGCCACTCGGGGGAAATTTTGGGGGAGGGGCCGTCGTAGGCGATGAGCTTTCAGTTAGTTTTGTTGATCTTCTTGCTGTTGCTCGGTTTTTGTTGGTTTTATTGTTGGAATGGCAGGTTTTTGAGGCTATGGGCAATGTTGTGGTCGGGGCTCGCGCCCGGTCATCTTTGTTGGTGGCAACCGTTGGTGAGGGTTTCAGGTTGGCTTTTTGGGTTTTGCTCTTCACTGACTGGACGGTCTGTGCGGGTTGACGGGATGCTGGGAGCCTTGACTGTTCTCTGAGCCGTTTTCTTAGCTTGTATTTTTTGTCAGTTTGTTTTCTGTGGTTTTTTCTTTTGCTTAACAAAAAAACAATTATTTTTTGTCAGTTTGTTTTCTGTGGTTTTTTCTTTTGCTTAAAAAAAAAAAAACAATAAGGCCTTAATAGCCTCAAAGCTTGGGAAGCAAGTCTTCTTTTGCATCAAATACAAACTAGAGCTTAATCCGGTTTACCAAACCTTAATTAAATATTTATTTGCATTACTTGTGTGCAAAACTCACTCTAAGCTAAACATCTAAAAATCGCTTGATCAGGCACGATCTAAGTGATGCATCACCAAAATCACTTGACTAGGGATGAATCTTGAGGCAAATTCTAGTTGACAACTTCCAAAATTTAAAATGGGATCATATGAACTCCAATTTTGGCAAACTTATAGTCAAAGTGAACGCCTCCGTGAGACAAATCCAACGACACCAAAATCAGTCCAATCTGCTATCAAATGAGCTAAAATCAAGGGACCGAAGCATATTTAGAAGCTTTAGTGCATAAATGGATGACCAAATGATATCCAAATTAGCATGGTTATAGCCGAATTGAGCGGCTCGACAAGACGAATCCAACGAACCTAAGATCACTTTATTCTGACATCATTAAGGCACTTAAATGCCACACAAATGCTCCATGATCAAGAAAATTAGTATAGGTCGTCTAATAGAATACTTCGAATCAACCCTCGATCTTGTCCATATTTATAATGCATGCCACTATCAAAATTTATAAGTAGACCATCTCTTCCACAAGATGGGGGGGCAAGGTCTTTTGGGAGTAGGCTTAGACCCTGAGTTAGAGACTCAAGAATGTCATGAGCCATGAAGAATCTCAGAGCTCTACCCCGACACCACCATCGGCAAATCCATTCCACTAGGCCGTCACTGCTGTACATATGCCCGACCATCACCGTTGGACCTCCGTCAAGTAGCCACAATCAGGTCTTTATCTTACCACCATAGCTCGTCGGCTATGGTCCCTCCGACCTCATTCGCCGACCGACTACAATCCCTCAAACCTTTATCACCTGACAACCGTTCCCTCTACCTCAATCACCCGACTACGACTCCTCCGCCCTCCATCACCCGACTATGATTCTACCGACCAAACAAATATGTCAATATTCTTTAAGAATAACTCTCTTATCACTGGATTCTTCCAACTCCTACCATGTAATGTGCTCAATATGACATATATTTGCTACACTAAAACAAGGCCTTCCTTGATCATTTGTAATCCACTACAAAAACTAGTATAATCATTTTAATTGTGTCAGGCTCCGTGATTTTTTTCTCTTTTCATAATTTTTCATATAAAAAATATTGGTGTGTCTTATGACTCATGTACCTCTCTCTCATATGTGTGAGTGTGTGTTAGATCTTCGTACAAAGCAAGACACTAAAATCTATATATCTCTACCACCACGAATGTTCTGGTACGCACGTAGAATATTGTGATGTCTTTATCTTAATTTATGTAAATTAAATTGAATTGAAAATATTCAAATTATTTTGAACAATTTGAAATTTTTTTTTCTAGCTTAAAAATATTGAACCGAGAATCAAATCATGATTCACTATTGGACAATAAATTATTATGCGTGAGGCAAAAAGTTTTATTTATGATCATTTCATAATTATTTGATAAATTTTATGTTGATTATCTATTACCTAAAGCAACTCTTCATTTTTTTCTCAGGTTAGGACTCTGCAACGATAATGTTCTAAACTAAAAGATAAAAGTTATGTTTCATGCACAATATTTTTTCCATGGGAAATAATTTGGATCATGACATCATGACTAAATTATCATCAGAAAATGCTTAATAATGATTATATATAAATATATTAATATTTTTTTATATTATATTGTATATGTCATAGCTTTTATTTTTATTATATTTAAATTTCTTAAAAAATTTAATGTTAAAAATATTTTTTTCATATATATCGAATAAGTGTTACATATTAAATTTTTATTTCATCAAAATTTGATTAGAATATAAGATATAAAATTTTTATTATTTTTTTTTAATTGTACGGTGGAGCTAATAACTTCTCCTATCGAACGAAATGCGTAAAAAACAAATCCCAGATTAGCCCTTTTCAACGGTCACCAGATCTGGCCCGTCCATTTTGAATTTGACGGACTACAGTGATTCCTGTAAGTCACCCCACAATAATAATACGCTTGCCGTTTTCGAAATCCACGGACCAGAACGACAGAAATTTTGATGATACAAAGTCTTTATTTCAAGATTTCAAACTCTGCTTGCTCATTCCAGCTCTCTCTCTCTCTCTCTCTCTCTCTGACTCTCCCTGACGAAAGATCTCGGAGGTGATCTCTGGACTGCTCCTCTTGGGCTAATAAGGTGAGAATACCAATCTCTCTGATCTCTCTCTATCTGCGAATAGTTCTTTTTCATTTGGTGAATTAGCAGTTCGCTAGGGTTTCCTTTCGTCTGAGAGCAATGAACTCATCTTATGTTTCCTTTTATTAATCGAGATGGTCCATTGTTCTGATTAAGCTGTAATAAATAATTCCGACTTGATTTGCTGCATTTTAAAGGAACCCTCAATTAGATAAATGGAAATAAGCCATCTTTCGATCCTGGAGCCAATAGAATCTAGAACTTGTTGAGTGGCCGATCTTCAATTTCATGTATTAATGTTAATGAACCTTGTAGATTTCTATTATGAACACTAGGATCATCATCCTGGAAAGCGCTTGCGTGATTTCAAGCGGTGGCAAAAGCCTGCCCGCAAATTATCATTGTGGTTTTGAGGCGTTTATTGCCGTTTTCGTTTGCTGTGCCGTCAGTGCTGTGGTTTGAACATGCTTTGCTAATTGCGAAAGCCCTAATAAACCTAAAGAAATTTTTATGTTAATAGTGTACCCCTTCTTACGTTTATTCTATTTTATAAGTTATGCTTTATGTAAGCCATGTTTATAGTTTATGGGTATGTTTGGAATGGCTAAAACTTTTTGTAAAAGTGGTTGTAGAGCTATTGTAAGAAAAAAAAAACCTTTTTTAAATCTACTTTGGGTATTATAAATGATACAAAAAAATATTTTGATCAGATACAAATATCGATGTATATTTGAATTGGACATTCCAAAATTAAATTCATGACCATCCAAATTCTGATTCCAGCAAGCTTATAGTAAAATTGAATGTTTCTACAAGTCAAACTCATTGACATCAAAAGTGATCTAATCTGACTCCAAGTGATTAAGCACATGAAGTACAATAAGAAACTTCAGCATTCTTATTAGAAAACTAATTGATCTCTAAATTATGCATGTTTATTGTCAAATCGAGTGTTTCGATGAGATGAATCCAACAACTCAAGTGGTCTAATTTAGACATCATTGAGGCACTTAAAAGCTTAAAGAATGATCTATAATCGAGGTAGTTGACACAGGCTGTCCGATGGAGTGATATGGATTTTGACTATATTTATAAGGCATGATACTAAAAAAAAATCTATAAATAGGCCTCCAATTTCTACATGAAGAGAATTTGGACTTTTTGCTTGAAATTGAAGAAAGCTAAGAGGCTTGAAAAATCTTAAAGCTCCATTGGAACACCATCATTGGAAAATTGTCTAACCAAAGCCATTGGACCACCATTGCCTAAATATACTCTTCTGAATATCATCATCTAACTACAATCCTCCAACCACTATCACTTGATTATGGTTCTATGAACATCATCGCCTTACTACATTTTCCTAGCCTCTGATCACTGTAGCTCGCTACAAACCTCTGGCAATTGTCACCCTTCTAATCAAAACCATTGGACCACAATTGCCTAATTATAATCCTCTTACCACAGTCACCTAATTATGATCCTCCGACCATTGTCACCTGATTCCATTAACTTGTCAAACTTGGATCTCCGTGGTTGTGAAAACACACTTCCACCAACTCTCCAGACTTGATTCTCTATGGTTTTGATGCCACCTCCAACAACCATCCAAGCTCCTTTTGTTGGTCGAGAGCGCATCAAGAGAGGCAGAGTGGGGAGTGGTGAATTGGCTAAGCAATTGGGGGGCTTCAAATTCCAGTAGTGCAAACCCTCACAATTAGAACACTTTATGAAGGTTGTGTAAGTTAACAATTAAACCAATTTGAAAAACACCACATAAGTTTTTCTAAGATCTTCACTAAATGCATTAATCTTATTATAATCTATTCTATAAATCTATAGATCATGTCGGAGATTAAAAATTCTTTCTATTCTTTTTTTTATTTCTAAAAACTAAATGTTAAAAAAAGTTCACTATCTGGGTGTGCAATTGGGTAATATAGAAATTAAAACACTTCATAGAAATTATATAATTTAACAATTAAAACAATTCTAAAAACACCACACTTGTTTAACTAATATGTACTTATATTATTAAACTAGATGAGTACGTTATGATTGTTAAGAGAAATTTAATTATGTCACTCAATTGCACAATCTTCAACATCTACTCCACAATCACCAAAGCTATGTTAGTGTGCAAACAATATAATCGAGATTACAAGATAAATGTTGAGAGCAAAAACAAATTAGGAACTAGTAAACGAGTTTTACTTCACCAATTAAATAAATAAATAAATAAATAATAAATGTAATAATGAAATATAGCTAAAAAAATGAGCAACTAATATTTTTATGTTGCTCAACTACCCAACCAGCCTACATTCATATCTAAGCCCTTCATTGACATAAAATTCCCATTATACCAAACTTGTCACTACAAATCCACTCTACTCGAGTAATCAAAGAAACCTTTTCAACCTGTACTCTCTCTTTCTTGGTAAGTGGGACGCAAGCACCTAATTTTTATGGGCTAGGCTACCCACTCTAAATACAAGAGATATCAAGCAAAAGTTCTCACGAAATTGGAAGATGACCTAATGGATATCACCATACAATTACAAATTACAAGATCTCTATAAGAATTGAAATATAGACAACACAAAACACAAGATAAAAAATCTTAAAGATTGAGAGAGATGGGATATTACCTGTTGCGGGCTAGAAAATACGCGGCGATAGAGATTTAATTTTGCGTCTTAGCGTTGCACGTATAACTAGCACACACAGAGAACACAAGATTTTTTACGTGGAAACCCCTTAAAAGGGAAAAACCACGAGGCCTAGCCCAGTTGAAAATGATTCCACTAGACTTTGAATTGGTTACAAAGAGCTGAATCACCTCCCAGGGTGATCAGATTACAATCAGTTACTTAAGTAAGACGTTGGGTCTTTGGCAGGATGTAGGGACTGAACGTCGGGCCTTGAGCAGGACGTCGGGTCTTCGGCAAGGCGTAGGGACTGAGTGTCGGGCCTTGAACAGGACGTCGGGTCTTCGAGATTTCAGCAGGACGTATGGGCTGAACGTCGGGCCTTAAGGCGGTGCTCCGACGAGGTTCTGCGGTGGTCCGGCGAGGTTCTTGCGGTGGTCCGGCGGCTGTCGAGGATGAGCTTCTTCCTTCTCTGACAACGCTTTGAACCCTTGATTCGGACTCATTTGGGCTCGGATTGGGTCGATCTTGGTGTCGTTGGGTTCGTATTTCCGAGACGCTCAGTTTGACTATAAGCTCGTTGAAATCGGAGTTCGGATGGTCCCGGAATTAATTATTGAAACTTCCAACTAGCTTTTGCCTCGAGATTCGCGCCCGATCAAGATGATTTTGCGATATCGTATCATTACCAATACTGTGGAACTCAAGATTGCTTTGTATGATGAAAACTTGAGATTTCTTTATTTTTCTTTCTAAAATGATTAAGATTTTTACCTCTTAGAAATGAATTTTTCTTTTGCTCAAAACCTTTCAAAACGTTCCCTATATTTTAATTAAAAATTTCTCTTATTTTACTAGTTAAAAAGCTATAGAAATAATCAATAAAAATCCCCTCTCCAATGGCTACAAGACACTACAGCTAAAAAACTAACTATTATATATGATATACCCATTATTGGGTAGATCTGCGACATGTTGGGATGTGTTTATAGGGTAGTTTTGTTAATGGACTTTTTGTTAACCTAATCTAATAAATATAAACAAAAAGTATATGATATTAAATATCAAAATGAATGCAGAAAACTCAATGAATCAAATGAAATCAATATCAAGACCAAATTAATTAAGTATAATATAATTATGTAATAAATGCTTGATTAACATAATCACTCATGCAGTCATGCTTTAGGCAAATTTGATGAAATTAATGGAAGATGTAGAGAAAATTTACAACATATAAAATATTAAATTAAAAATATTAATGAGATCATAATTAAATTAATGATATAATTAATATAATTAAACGAATAAAGAAAAATATATGTAATGTGTACAAACTTTGGATTAATTGAATTTGCAAATTTACTTATGTGATCAACAGTATAATGATGTGCCAATTAACTATATGATTAACTTTATATATTATTTATATTCCCATTGCTTCAATAAAAATAACTTCTAATCTATTGCAAAACTTGTGTGCTATAAGGTCTTGTGTGTTAAATTGATTTACATATTGACCATACTTGAGGAATCCCAACATGTCTCTCTCCTTGTCTAAACCTGTTCTCTTACATCTTGACCAACTCAAAGCCTTAAACTACTTCAACCCTCACAAAAACTGAGTCATATCACTTCCACAAAACCCTATTGTTGTTCAACTGCTGCGACTGTCTACATATAAAATTCATAACTTCTTGTCAATATATCCAATTGACCTAAAATCCTCTTCGTCAGTTACCTAACATCTCAAAGGGTTCTTCACCCCTTTCTATCAAAAAAAAAAAAAAAAAAAAAAACTAGCCATCCACTATAAAGAACATTTTAGCTATAAATCTTTCTAAAAACCTTAAATGAGTCAACATTTTTCCTTAGCCTTTCAACAACCTTAACCCTTCCACCACCTCTTCACCAACCTTGAAACCTATTAACCACCTTTCCATCACTTATAGCTTATGTAATGACTAGAAAATATGGGTTAGTTTTATGCAAAAATGATTGAGAGACATGTGAGTTGTAGAATGGTTCTACTTAATTCTTTGCTTCACAATTTCTTGGTGCTGATAGTTTTGCTTGCAGTTTGATTAGAGCAGATTAAATGTATTGTATGCAAAAAATGATTGAGAAATATATAAGTTGTAGGATGATTGTACTTAATTATATGCTTCACAATTTACCGGTACTGATCCATAGTTTTCCTTGTTGTTTGGTTAGAGCAGATTAAGGCTTCGTTTGGGACCGCTTTCTTACTGCTTCTTAAAACAGCTTTTTAGTACAAAAATTTTAATTTTTTAGTAAAAAGCCGCTTTAAGAAGCAGGAAGAAAGCCGTCCCAAACGAAGCCTAAATGACTTGCACCGCATAATACAAATAAAATGATGCCCACTGCATAAAAATGTGATTATTGATGATGTTCTGTTTATATATCATGCCTTAGAGTTTTGCTTTGACTAATCTATGGAGTCTACATTCACTCGTCGTTGTGTAGCCAAATCAATCTTAGCAGCTGCATCCTCAACCATGCAACTTATTTTTGCAGAAATGTTAAATTTTGAATGCTAGTTCTCTTGACATCAATAAATTTTGCAGGGAAACCCTGTGCAGTGTGACCGTCGTCGCTCCAGATGGCCATATCTCATAATGACCAACTTTCTCAGATTGAAACAACCTGTGGATCTCTTCTATATGAGCTTCAAGTAAATTTAAACCTTTGATCTTTATAAACATATTTCTTACTTCTAATTCATCTTGTTCTTTATAAACATAATGACCAACTTTCTCAGATGATATGGGATGAAGTTGGAGAATCAAATGATGAGAGAGACAAAATGATTCTTGAAATAGAACAAGAGTGCTTAGAGGTATATAGAAGAAAGGTTGATCAAGCAAACCATTCTAGGGCCTATCTGCGTCAAGCAATAGCAGATGCGGAAGCAGAGCTGGCTGCAATCTGTTCTGCATTGGGTGAGAGACCAGTTCATCTCGGCAAGGTTTGTCTCTGCTCTCAGCATTTCATAAGAGGGTCATATTACAACTTAATACTTGATTTGCATGTAACTTGTCTGTTTTAACATCCAACAAGTTTGAAGAAGTACTTAAAATTTTCTGAAATACTCCAAAGCCTGCAGCTTATTTTCTTCCTAAATGTTTAGTTAAGGTTGTACAGAAAGTTGGATTAGAAATCCATATTTGAAGGTCCACTACATGCATTTTGATCAGAATAATTTTTTTGCATTTCCTGTGTTGAACCACTCTGTGCAGTCCAATCAAAATGCATTAAGTTTGAAGGAGGAGTTAAAGGCTACAACTCCACAACTAGAAGAGATGCGAAAGAGAAAAAATGATAGATTAAGTCAGTTTCTTCAAGTCTTGGAGCAAATAAGGAAGATTTCAAGTGAGGTGTTGCCTGATGTGCAAACTAAATACAAAATGAATGTAGATGAATCTGATCTATCCACTCGGAAGCTTGAAGAACTTCAGAGGGAGTTAGAGGCACTACAAAAGGAGAAGGTCTGCTCTTACTTCCTGTTAAAATGGCTTCGAGTTGCCTTGGGCCATCATAAATTCATCCTTTTTCAGTTTGACGAGCTTCTCTAAATGTTTAATTCTGCAGACTGATCGCCTGAAGCAGGTGTTGGAGCATTTAAGAACTTTGAATACGTTATGCTTGGTTCTTGGTATAGATTTCAAACAAACCGTTATGGAAGTGCATCCTAGTTTGGAAGACACTGAAGGGTCAAAGATTGTTAGCAATGAAGTGATTGATAGGTTGGCTTCTGTCATACAAAGCTTGAGGGAGGTTAAATTACAAAGAATGCAAAAGGCAAGTAACATGAGCACTGAAGGATTCTACTTGAGATCGTTATTGACATTCTTTGAGCTGTAACAGCTTCAAGATCTTGCAACGGCTATGTTGGAACTTTGGAATCTAATGGACACGCCAATGGAGGAGCAGCAATTATTTCAGAACGTAACATGCAATGTTGCTGCTTCAGAACATGAAATTACAGAGCCAAACACTCTATCAGTTGACTTCCTCAACTATGTAAGTTAAAACTTAGGGAGAAGAACTGCCATTGTCCATGTAAGACAGTTTTAAAGTTGTTCGTATGATACAGGTAGAGGCAGAAGTGGTGAGACTAGAAGAACTGAAAGCTAGCAAGATGAAAGAGCTGGTTCTGAGGAAGAAGGCTGAACTAGAGGAGCTGCGTCGTAGGACTCATTTGGTTGAAAGTGGGGGTGACAATGAGGTCGAAATCTCAATTGAAGTCATTGAATCTGGTAATTCTTTTAACTAAGGCTTAGTTTGGGACGGCTTTTTTGCTGCTTCTTAAAGCAGCTTTTTAATTTTATTTTTATACTAAAAAACTACTTTAAGAAGCATTAAAAAAACCGTCCCAAACGAAGCCTAAATATTCTGATAACGGTATTATTTCTATGTCCATCCAATACAACCTAACGGTGTGATTTTCTGTTATAGGTGCAATTGACCCATCTTTAATCATGGAGAGGATTGAAGCCCAGATTTCATGCGTCAAAGAAGAAGCTTTTAGCAGGAAAGAAATACTAGAGAGGGTTGAGAAATGGATGGCAGCTTGTGAAGAAGAGGCCTGGCTTGAAGAGTACAACAGGGTTAGAGACTTGATTTGTTGATCCACCTATCTATTTTGCAATTGATTTTTCATATTGCTGCTGAACTTACCAATTCTGATTGATTTAGGATGAAAACCGCTACAGTGCTGGTAGAGGAGCCCATCTCGCATTGAAACATGCAGAAAAAGCTCGAGCAACAACTCAAAGGATTCCAGGTCAGTATTCCGATTGATCTAGTCTACCTGAAAGACAAAAGCATTTCTTAGAAATATTTAGGTTTTATTTGGGACGGTTTTCTTACTACTTAAAATAGCTTTTTAGTTTAAAAATTAAATTTTTTTACAAAAAAGCTGCTTTAAGAAGCAGTAAGAAAGCTGTCTCAAAGGAAATCTTAGGCAGGCCATCTGCTTCAGTTGATCCTATTTTTTATCATTCTCAGGAATTGTGGAGGCTTTATGCAACAAAGTCATAGCATGGGAAGAAGAAAGAGGCATTGAATTTACTTATGATGGTGTAAGAATTCTACTTTTTCTACCATTTTTATGTTTTTAAAGAAATGATTCAAGCTCCCCATTGCCAGTCCAAAATAGTTGGGAAAAGACTAATTGATAATGGTCTCCTCTGACTCCTCATTGCAGGTTCGCCTTCTGTCCATGCTAGAAGAGTATTCTTTTGTCCGCCAGGAGAAAGAGCAAGAAAGAAAAAGACAGAGGGTAATAATACTTCTTTCCTTGAGAGTAATTCTAAGATGCAAAGCTTTGCTTCATTATCATGCTCCATTACTCATTTTTAGGATCAGAAAAAGCTGCAGAGTCAGTTTCAAGCTGAGCAGGAAGCACTTTTTGGATCCAAACCAAGTCCTTCGAAGCCACAGTGCCTGAAAAAAGTTTCAAGAACTTCTTCAGGGTTTGCAAACAGAAGATTATCCTTAGGGGCAGCTGCATTGCAGCCAATGAAACCAGATTTTCCTTGCGTTAAGACAACTTCCTCAACAAAGAGAGGAAATGAGTTCACTTTTGCTTCCCCTGGTTTGTTCCTTTTAACCTCATCCAAAAAATAATTAATTTTGACATTAAAAGTTTGATAATGCTTTTCAGCTGCACTGTTTTAAAAATATGACATCCAAATTATGATTTTTGTGAATTTTGCGACCAAAATGCTGTATTCTACACATGGGCAGATTCACCTTAAAGCATTCTGAAAAAAAAAAAATTATATAATTCTTTAGGTAATTTGTCCCCCTCAATGTATTTTTTAGTCTTTATTACAAGGGTTTTCAGGCAATTGCCCCCCCTAAAAGTTTTAAAATACTATGGTCTTTAGGCAATTGCCCCAACATAATTAAACACATTGTGTAGAGATGTTATTGTTAGAGAACGATGAACCAAATACAAAGAGAAATAGTAAAGAGAATCCATAAATATCCTTATAGCCGAAACGATGTATAGGTCGAATCCCCCCAGGGGGCGCTGCCCTTTTCAACCCTCGACATATCTGCGAAGCGTACAATGATGAACAAATAGGGTTCGAGAGGCAGTGCCCTCGGAACAAATTTTAGTTGTAAGGATATTTATGAAAAAAAAAAAACTCTATATTTTACTTATAAGTTTGCCCCCCGTGAAAATTAAGGCTGGATCCGCCCCTGATTATTTGTACATGCATCTCTCACATATTTCACAAGCAAAAGCAAGATTTTTTCATTGGAATATGATGTAGTTTGTGCAAATAACAAAATGAATGCCTTACTATTTCATCCAGCTCTTCTCCTCTTTGTGATCAGTGATCAAAACTGTTCATGATTTATATTTCAAAATTGAATGTTCAGAAAATAAGATTATCTGTGGTGACTCTTACAGAGCCGCCAATCCATTTATGTGATAGTATCTCTCTTTTGCTGATTACTCAAACTTTCACTCTTCAGCCAAGAAAGGAGTAATGGAAGCTAGAAATCCAGTAAAGTTGCCATCTTTCAATGCAGATAACATGAATTCTCTTCAATCTGAACCACCTCGAAAGTCTTTCGGTGCGACGAACACAATCAATCAACAATCAGAAACACCAAGAAAGCCATTTTCCCTTCTTGATCCAGCCAATATTCTGCCATTAACGCCTTCCCTGTCCATCCACAGCATGGTTAGAGAAGAAGAAAACCAGCTGATGCCCATATCAACGCCCAGAACTCCAGGAACAGTGATGAAGCCAATGCAGATGGCCATTACTCCAGCAACCATTCGAAGAGTGCCAGATGAGAAGGAATACTCCTTTGAAGAAAGAAGACTTGCAGTTTACTACAGAAGATAGGAAGGAAATAGTAGAAGGTTTGTGATGTTATTCATTATTGATAAGGAGCTGCCAATAGCTCCTATGAATACAATCTCTTCAGATTTGTTGAACTGAGGCAGTGCCATTTGAAGATGCAAAACAGCTTTAATGTCATTTTGGTTTGATGAGCTATCACTCATTGTGCTAATTGAAAAAATAATTGGGTTAGGATATCCTCACCAAAATTTAATTATTATGGCTTAAGAAAGTAACCTGTGATATTTTCATGTATTTACATATCTAACAACTAAGATTTTGTTTGGGCAGTTTTTTTATTACTTTCTAAAACAAATTTTTAATAAAACAACAACAACATCAAGCCTTTATCTCCCACTACGTGGGGTCGGCTACATGAATTCTTTTTTTTTCATTGTGTCCTATTAAAAGTCAAATTCTCATTTAAATCTAATAAAGAAATAGCATTCATAATATTTTCTAACCAAGTCTTTTTAGTTCTGCCTCTATTTTTTTTAACATAAGTCAAATCTAATACTTCTACTCTCCTAACCGGGTCATCGGAAGGCCGCCGTTTTATGTGACCAAACCATCTAAGGCGACTCTCTCTAATCTTATCTTCTACTGGAGGTATTCCAACCTTTTCACATATATGCTCATTTCGTATATTATCTTTAAGGGTAAAGCCACTCATCCATCTGAGCATCCTCATCTCTTAAAACACTTTTTTTAGTAATAAATAAATAAACTACAAAATTTTTGTACTAAAAAACTATTTTGAAAAGCAGTAAGAACACCATCCCAAACAAAGTCTAAGTCTTTATAGTTACTATATAAATCACATTAATATATACATGAAAATAGTTATTTTTTTAAGTTAATATTAATGATATTTTTATGCAATTTAGATATTTAATTGTTATATAAATAAATATAAAAAAATATATGTATGTAAATACCACTTTAAGAATGTTTTATTGTCATAAAACTAATAAAATAAAATAAAATAGGATTTAATTTGCACCACAAAATTCTTTTATATTTACATATCTAATACTTCAATATTTCCATTTACTTATATAGCCTTCAACTCTAACTCATATAAAAATTTAACTAATATTAACTTATTTAAAATAAAATTTATCTTTTCATGCATACGTATATAAATAAATTTAAAATTTTAGATTTTATAAATATAAATACAAAATGATTTTATAGTATGTATAAAAATACTCCTATTCTAAAAAAAATTCCCAGTTGTGACATTTAAAAAAAAAAATTATGATTTGCTAACATTCTCCTAATATATCAACTAAAACTTTGTTTGGAAGTTTATTATTATTTTTGTTTTCATTTGAAAATTTTTTTAATTATAATTTAAAATAAGATTTTTCAAAAATAATTTTAAAAAATCATCCAAATTAGGAATGTAAATGAGTCGAGTGAAGCTCGAATCACCCCTAATTTGAGCTTGATTAATTAATCAAATTCGAGCTTTGGTCTACAAATTCGAGCCGGCTCATGAGCGAGGGCTTTTATAATGAAAGAGAAAATAATTCTTATTCAATTAATATAAGATAATTAGATATAATGTTAAACAATTTTAACTACTCTATCTTTAAAATCATAAATATTAATATACTTTGAATGTATTTTATATTAATAAATTTTAAATTATTCAGCTCTTGTACTAATGAGTCGAGTTAGGATTGCTTAAATTTGACTCAGTGCTCATCGAGTTTGGCTGATTAGGGCTGCAAACGAACCGAGCCGAGCCGAGTATGTACGAGTGTTCATGTTTGTGTTCTTTTAATATCAGCTTGTTCATGTTTGGTTCATGATTGTTCGAGCTTTAGCATTTGTGTTCATGTTTGGTTCATTTAAATTAAAGAGTGTTCATGTTTGGTTCATGTTCAGTTCATGTTCATTCGTTTAATGTTTATCGAGCTTGTTCGCGAACATATTTAATGAATTTTTTTTAACTATCAAACAAACACATTCATGAACGTATCTATGAAACAAACACATTTATAATAAAAGCAATTGTCTATGTAACAAAGGTAATGAATATTTATATTTATTAATTCTATAGTCAAATATTAATTATTTTTATCGAGCTTATTCACGAGTTCAAAATCGAACACGAATCGAGCTTTTATCGAACTTCTTATCGAGCTTAATGTCGAGCTTGTTCACGAACTTCAAATGATGTTGTTCGCGAACATAAATGAGCCGAACGCATTAGTGTTCAAGTTTGTTTGTTTAGTTAATTAAACGATCACAAACGAGCTTTAATCAAACCGAATAACGAATAGCTCGTCGAACGTTTTGTTCGCTTGCAGCCCTATGGCTGATGAACTATTTACTGAGTCGAGTCCAAGCTGACTTGACTCACCCTAATCCAAATACATATTATTATCTGCTTTTTATGACCGCAATAACAAACAGCGGCAGTCCCGCAACTGAGCTCAGCAGCATCTTCCCAAATCTAGAGATCAGTCCCGCAACTGAACCCGCGTCGCCGTCGCAACTGAGCTCTCCGATGTTCTTATCGTCTTCCAACCTCCTTAAATCCCAATTCTCCTGGTTCTTTGAAGGTAATCTACAGAAGGCCCGTAGTCGAAGTTGTTGAAGAAGAGATGGCGATCGATGCTCCAGGGAGTGAGAAGCGGGTGTGCGTCACCGGCGGCAACGGCTTCATCGGATCCTGGCTTGTGCGAGCCCTCCTCGAGAAGGATTACGCGGTTACCGTCACCTTCCAGCCCGGCACCGACCCCTCTCACCTCCTCGCATTCCCCGGCGCCGACGAAGGCCGCCTTCATCTCAAGGAAGCCGATCTCCTCGATGCGGCTGCCATCGCCAACGCGGTGGATGGGTGCCGTGCGGGAGTGTTCCATGTGGCGTCTCCCTGCTCCCTGGAGGACCCGCGCGATCCGGAACGGGAGCTGCTGATGCCGGCTGTGGCTGGGACGCTTAACGTGCTGGAGGCAGCGCGGGCCGCCGGATCTCGTCGGGTGGTGCTTACGTCTTCCATTTCGGCCATGGTGCCAAACCCTAGATGGGCCACCGACCGACCTGGACGTCCCGTAGACGAGGAGTGCTGGACCGATCTGGATTACTGCAAAACTCGCCAGGTGATGAGATGATCCTCCTCTCGTTCTCCACCATCAGGGTTTTAGGGTTAAGTTTTTTTTTTTTTTAGTTGAACTGGAATGGATGCCGAATTTGTTTGTGTTTTTATCTGTAATGGGTGTTATTTTTGTGCAAGTTTCTGGGTGATGCCAGAGTGGAAATTGGGAAGAAAAGCCATCGTTTGTATAGCTATACGATTGTAGAAACTTGAACTGTGTTCCTCATTACAGTTTCACCAATAATTTATTTTGTTACTGCTTGTTAACCCAGAAATGGTATCCAGTGTCTAAGACAATGGCAGAGAAGAGAGCTTGGGAATATGCCGAAAATCATGGACTAGAAATTGTAGCAATCAATCCCTCCACATGCCTTGGCCCCCTGTTGCAGCCTGGTCTGAATGCTAGCTCAGCAGTTCTTCAACAACTCTTACAAGGTTTGTGTAACCATAGTTTACAAGACTGTGAGAATTACTCATTAAGGCTATCTAATAATCCTTGGCCTGCTTATGAAGGTTCAAAGGATACTCAAGAGTATCACTGGCTGGGCTGTGTGCATGTGGGCGATGTTGCTGCCGCTCAAGTCTTGCTACTGGAGACACCAAATGCCTATGGAAGGTACCTTTGCACCAATGGGATATATCAGTTTAAGGATTTCGCTGAAGCTGTAGCTCGGCTCTGCCCCGAATATGGCGTCCATAGGTGAATACTAAATAGTACCAATCAACCAACTTCCAACTTTTTAACATTATCAAGCTTATCTTTGCATTGTTTTCTTGAGTGGAATAGCTTGGTAATCTTTTGGTAGTTTGTTGAACTCAAAAAAGTTTATTATGCAAAATACTTTTTAGTTGGTAGCAACTTTATTAAAGTGAAGATGCTCATGTAAGTACTCTAAGGCTAAATATTAAAACATATTTCTAGTATAAAAATATTAATTTTTAGACTAAAAAGTTGTTTTAAAAAGCAAAAAAAAAGTCGTCACAAATGAAGCCTAAATATGTTTAATATAGTAACATATTCCTTTTAGCTTAGATTTTCATTTATTTGGACCTGGCAAGCAATTTGCTTTGTCGTTAGTATAGACCTAGTATTATTAAGTTTTTTGAACAATGAGCTCATGATTTGGAGAGGAATGTAAGACCAAGGTTTGTGTTAGTAGCATAATAGATAAACAAATTTTGGTCGTCAGAACTAAGACGAGTTTTTAGAATGGGACTAGTTTTGAAACAACAATGTCACAACTCATTTTGGCATGTTGGTTGAGAGCTTAGGCTATCATCTAAGAGGTCTTAGGCTCGAGTCTTTGTGGATATGATGTGTGTTTGAGTTTGCCTTAATTAGCCCCCCCCCCCCCCCCCCCCACCAAAAAAAAAGGGTTCGCCACTGAAAGCAACCCATACAAAATGGTGGTTCAACAAGAGGAAGCAAACTCTGACATGAAAAGGCAGTGCATTTGGAGCTTCTATATTATTCTTTTGAAAGTTCTGATAGGAGACCTATATAGGTTTTGCTTTCTTCAATGTTGATGAATTTTTGGTGGTTTCCAGAATGAAAAAACTCTCACCGTTTGCCCTTATCGTGAAAAATCTACATATATTTTTCACGGTTCACAAGTATTAACATATCACCGTATGTCGTCTACCATTCGCTGCATTCGAACTCCAAATCTCACCCCAAAATTCGGCAGGTGAACAGTGCGACGCCAATCTATGCAAAAAAATTGGGTTGCAGAATTTGCCGAAGAAGAGAGGCGAAAGAGGAGAAAAGCACACGAAAGAGGAGAGAGATGGTTACCTTAGTAGGAAGCACGCGAAAGAAGAAAGAAACGAAGTTCAATTGTAGATGAATTACGGCATTTTGAAGTTTTGCTACATTTTAGATCGGAAAATAGAGTTTTCAGTTGGAGATGCCCTAAACTAAATTTGAATTATAATCGGTGTAAACCGGCTTTTTTCATGAAACATATTTCAAAAAGGAGTAGTGGGAACATTGATTTATCAAGTTTGAAGAAGTTTTTTTCTAACTCAACTGTTATGCATTCAAGTTATTTGTAGTCTCTTAGCTTATTCTGCATCACCATCATCTTATCTAAGAGCATTGATCATCTTCATAAAAAAAAAAAATGCTAACCTGTTCACATCACCATAGTTTCATACATATTTGTATTTTATCAAATGGAAAAAAAGAACTCTCACAATTTCTTTAACAGGTTTGAGGAAGAGACACAACCTGGTCTTGTCGCATGTGAGGCTGCAGCTAAGAGACTGATTGAACTTGGGATGGTCTTCACTCCAATCGAAGAGGCAATCAAAGAATCTGTGGCAAGCATGAAAGCAAAGGGATTTCTAGGTCAGTCTAACCTGCAATCTTAGGTTTCGTTTGGGACGGTTTTTTTACTGTTTTTTAAAGCTGTTTTTAAGTAAAAAAATTTGTACTGAAAAATTGCTTTAAAAAGTAATAAAAAAGTCATCCCAAACAAAACCTGAGTTGAACTTGATTCTCTTTCATGAACAAAATCTTTAGCTGTAATATGCTACCATGTAATTAGGAGGAATGTCTTCCAACTACATAGATTTTTGCTTATTTTGAATATAAATTTAAAATCATGATTTATATATAAATTTTTTAATTGAAATGCAGCATTTATTAGGTCATTTTACGATCAATTCAAATCCGATTATCTCGAAGTGGCGAAAATTCTCCCTGCTCCCTGCTCTCTCTTAAACTTTACATGGAGCGTTCCGCTCTGAATTTGGACATTAATAAACATCGACAATAAGGCTTCGTCTGGGACATCTTTCTTATTGCTTTCTAAAATAATTTTTAATACAAAAGTTTTTTGAACTTGAATTTTTTGTACTTGAAAACTGTTTTAAAAAATAATAAGAAAGTTGGCACAAACGAAAGCCTAAATCCTCTTAATGTACAGCTTTAATTTGCCTTTTATGAAATATAATGTCAACAAAATCCAGTGGGAGAAAATGAATTGTGATGGTCAATGGAAAGATGCCTAATTTAGGAGAGTAGGATTGATTCCTGGAAATGTCCATATGCAGCTACGTCTGAATCTCTCTCTTTGCAATGGAGAGATTATTTTGTGCGGTGTCGAAATATGTTTGGACGTCAATTCAGACGTGCCATATCATCCCCAAATTAGTCTCCATTAGCGTCCGGACACTGCACGTAATAATTTTTTCAATGAAAGAGAGGAGATTGTTGAATAATAAGTATTATGATAATATTGATAAAAATAAATAAATGAAAAATAGCTTCAAATAAGGGGGAGAGGTTATTTTTAAGCAATTTAACAACTTTATACTAAATTATTAAATTGTAATATATTTTAAGTGTATTTTATATTAATATTTTATAAATGAGTTGTGTCAATACTTGATGAGTCAAGCAAGGTTGACTCAAGCGTGACCAGTTAATTAGCTCATTGAGCTCGATTCAAGAAGCACTTATCAAGTTGAGCTCGAGACGGCTTCCCAGTTAGCCACCCACTTGTTACTGCAAAAAAGAAAGAAAGAAAAAAAGAAGAAAAAAACTTAGAGGTTAGTAAATGAATTATTATAAAAAGTCTATATAAAAATTTAAAAATAATTAAAATTGAGAAACAACATTTTGCTATATTTTTTATTTTTGTACCAAATTAAAATAAATTTTCTGTTAGAAAACAAAAAATCAGTCCATAAGTCTACACTCCTTCAAAATCAATTTTTTTATATATCATAGAAAATATATTAATAAAATGTAATTTCTCGTGTATTGTATTATTTTATTAACATATCTATATACGAGGGATTCACATACATACAATTTTATTTCATGTTATTTACATATTTTATACTCAAAATTTTAATATTACATTCTTACCATTCATATAAAATTTTAATATCAAATATATAAGTCATATATTTCATTCTTATCACTTATATCATCCTATAAACTTTAATATTTCATTTCATGCACTCAAATTTGTTCAATGAGTGGTAAGCTTGTAATATTAAAATTTTAGGTGTTAAATATGTAAATAACATGAAATAAAATTGTATGTATGTAAATCCCCCTATATCTTATTGAGTGCCACATAATATTTTATCATGTAACTAAAAATTCAAAAAATAAATAAATAATAATAAATAGATATTTACTCACAATCCTATAAACACAATAAGGCAGTCAAGGAAGTGGCTCAATCATCTATAATATTTCATTTTGGAATGAAATAAATATTATTGAGCCTATTATTATTATTTATTTATTTAGTTATTGAGCCTATTAAATTTCCTTCTTCTAAAATTCATAAATTATATTGGCAGCTATTATTTATTTCTCTAAATAAGAAAAAACATATTATCCACTTAGATTCATGAATTATATTGTCAGCTATTATTTATTTCTCTAAATAAGAAAAAACATATTATCCACTTAGAGAAGTGAAAGCAAATAATGTATTTTTTTTAGAGATTGTTTCATTTATTGATTTGGTATTCTATGATGGATTTTTTTATATAATAAAATTATATTTAAAAGCTCTAAAATTATAGTATTTATTTGTCATCATTGATTGATGATACTTTATATTTACCATCCAAGAGAAAATAATTTAAATAAATACTTTAATAAAATTTTAATTTAATTGCTTAGGAAGTTTTAGAGTAAACATTAAAAATAAAAGAATGACATAATTAGCTTATATATATCCACCAATTTATTATATGATGTGAACTTTTAAAAAAATTATTATTTTTGCAATAATTTGACTAACAATTTTTATAATTCCAAACACCCCAAATAGAGGAATAATTATTACGTCCTCTGAACGGACGTAGAGCTAGTTCGGCCGCCAATAACATGTCACCACGTGCTCTTACTCTCTACCGTGCGGCCCGACGACTTGACCCGGACCTGAACCCGGGAATGCTATGTTCGTGTATTGCGAGGTATTACTCGGTATTTGCTCGGTATTGCTAGGTATTGCATGACAATAACGAGAAATACCGCTCTGTGAAGACCAATACCGAGCAAATACCGAGTTGTATCGAGTTGTACCGAGTTTTTCTAGAAAAACTCGGTACAACTCGGTATTACTCGGTATTTGCTCGGTATTGCTCGGTATTAGTTATTGCCAAGCAAAATCAACCAATATCTAGCAATACCTAGCAAAATCGAGAAATACCGAGCCATCCTGGGCCCGTTCTGGGTCGGATTGTTGGGGTGCGCGGTAAATAGTGAGAACGCGTGGCACGATTCTACTGATGGCCGAACGTAGAGCTACGTCCTATGACCGAACCAAATAAAAGTTCCAAATAGAGACATGAAATTTATATGAAAAGCACAATAATGCAAAATCTGCCTCAAACAACCCCTCGTATCTTAAATTTATATTTATGAATAAAATTTTTATTTCATATTTAATATTTTAATTACAAATTTAAAAAAAAAAATCTTTGCATAATTTACCCCTATAGAACTGTCATATGCCATATGCGGAGCCTTCTCGATCGACCCCACCGCCGCGTTCCACTGAGCGAGGAGGCATCGTCGGCCCTTCTCCAACTTTAGAAACAAAAAAATATTTGCATTCATGACCCTATGACTTTCCGCTTTTCCACGCCCTTACTGCTCTTCTAGTTCTCGAAGAAAGCGTAGAAGAAGATAGAAGAAAAAAATTTAAATACATAAATATTTAAAATTATTTATTTATATATTTAACTTTAAATCTTTTATTAATTAAAATAAAACACTTTTTACTCCGTTCAAAATCTCAAAACCTTCTCCTCAATTCCTAAAATGCTCCATGAGGAATAAAGGTAGGGAAATCCTTCCATAATATTGTTGGAAAAGGGTAGGATTGTAAATAAAGCGAGTTTTTGATGAAAAGCTCGTGACTCGACTGGATAAGAGCTCATTCATGTTCGTCTGACAAGATAAACAAATGAGTTTGAGCACTTAAAGGAAAAAAACATGTTCGTTTAGTCTCATACCATGCATGACAACTTAATTTTACTCTATAAAATAAAAAATATTAAAAGTTTGCACGAAAGATAGCAGGCAGATTGGGTCTATTAAGGAATCATGGAAAATGGGTCAAGACGCTTGGCGGGGCTAGCAAATTGCTCAATTGTAAATAAACTAAAATTTTATTTTGTTAAATGAATGGCATGTTAATAGGCTCGACTTGTTACACGAGCCACTCGTTAATATGTTTGATCAGCCTAAAATAAGCTGAGCTCGAACAAGGGCTCATTAATAGACTCGACAAGCCTAAAATGAAAGTAGCTCAAACATGAACACGAGCTGAGCTCGAACAAGGGATTTTTAAACCTACTCGAGCTCAAACAGGTACCAAAAAAAGCTTGAATCTTATCGAGCCAAGCTCAAACACGATCTTGGAAAACGAGCTCGAGCTTGAATATGTCAGAGTTCGATTTGGCTCGATTCACTTACAGACCTAGAAAAGGGCATCAAGAGGATTGATAGAACAAAGAAGATGTAAAGAGATCACAATAAGATTTCAATGAAAAAGGCATCAACAACGATAACAACAAGAAGACATGAAGAGATCACAACAATTTTTAAGTGAAAAAGATATTAACAAATTGATCATGTGTAAAGGAGAAGAGGAATTCACATGATACGGGGGCGAAATCGGTCATAATTTTCAAAGGGGCAAACTTATAAAATAGATTGAGATAGACAAATTACCTAATGAATCGTATAATAAAAAAAATTGCCCCCTGTGGGCTCAAAGGGGTTCCGCCCCTGACATGACCCATGGAGAGTTAAGTGGAAAAATATATATTATTTTTTTATTATTTAAAGAATTAAATATTTTATGAAAAAAAAATGAAAAATTATATATTAAACAATTTAGATAATTTTAAGCGTAGGGAAGACCAAATAAATAAGCTGGCGAAGTTTTTAGTTTTTTACTCATACTTCCACCTTCACTCGTCAGTGGTCACTGCCTAACGTTAGGCAGCTTTTCATCGCCATTTCTCCTATAAAAAACACGTAAATCAGTGAAGCTAAGTCGCCTTCTTCATCCCCTTCTCCTTCCTCTCCTTCTCCATTTCCCTTCTTCCATTCCTAGAAAACCAGTAAAGCTCAAGCTAGAGATCATGGGGAGCATGGATGAGTACCCTTCCTCGCGAAAGCAGAGCCATCAGCAGCAACAGAGCACAATCCGATCAAAACTAAAGCTTGTTCTCCTCCTCGTCTCCTCCAATCTCCTCACCATCTACCTCTTCTCTTCAAGTAGTCCCCTCAGCTTCCGTTGGTCGGATCACGTCCCGGTGATCCATCTCTGGGACTCTCAATCCCTCCTACGGGAACTCAACTCCACGCAACTCCGCCTCTCTCAAGCTCAGTCCCAGTTATCCGATCTTCGCCGCCGGCTCCTCACTTCCAACTCACTCCTCGAAACGCTCCTCACTGAGCTCGGCCGCATCCGCGGCGGAGCTTCCAACTCCGACGAAGAGCTATCCGGCGAGCTCAAACTCGCCGTGGGACCACACAAACTACCCCTCGGATTCACCTCCCAGCTCGACACCGACGAGCTCTACCCCTCCCTCGGCGCCGCTTGCCGTCGCTTCCAAGACGAGCTTGCCCAATACATGAATTACCCCATCGGCGGCGAGTGCCCCGTCGACGACATCTTCGCCCAACACCTAATGCTCAAAGGCTGCGAACCTCTCCCTCGCCGGCGATGCCATCCCAAATCCCCTTCCGGCTACATCCCTCCCGCGCCCTTCCCTTCCAGCCTCTGGTCCATCCCCCCCGACACCAGCATCGTCTGGGAACCCTACACCTGCAAGAACTACAGTTGCCTCGTAAACAGAGGGAAAGCAAAAGGCTCTTACGATTGCAAGGACTGTTTCGACCTCGCCGGCCGGGAAAAAACCCGCTGGCTCTTCGACAACGGCGGGCTAGATTACAGCATCGACAACGTCCTCTCGCTTCGCCCGCCCGGCACCATCCGCATCGGCCTCGACATCGGCGGCGGAAGCGGCACCTTCGCCGCTCGAATGAGGGAACGCAACATCACCATAGTCACCAGCTCGATGAACTTCGACGGTCCGTTCAATAGCTTCATTGCATCGAGAGGGCTTGTGCCTCTTCACATCAGCGTTGCGAATCGATTGCCGTTCTTCGATCACACGCTCGATATTGTTCATTCGATGCATGTGTTGAGCAATTGGATTCCCGATCTGGTTTTGGAGTTTGCTTTGTTCGACATCTTTAGGGTTTTGAGGCCCGGGGGGTTGTTCTGGCTGGATCATTTCTTCTGCGTCGGGAAGGAGATGAACTCGACCTACGTGCCGATGTTCGACAGAATAGGGTTCAGGAAGCTGAGATGGGATGCGGGGAGGAAGCTCGATAGGGGGATTGAGAAGAACGAGTGGTACTTGTCTGCTCTGCTTGAGAAGCCCATGACATGAGGAAGAGGAAGAGGAAGAGGAGAGGAAGAAGAAGAAGAAGATGACAATACTCTATTTGAATTTATTTCCTTAAAAAAAAAATTGTGTTAAGCAAATTATATGAGATGAATTTGGAGATTATTGAGTTACTTTGAGATTAGTGTAATACAAATTATTTATATGAAAAATTGATCTCAAAATAAATTCGACGATTTTCAAGCTTATTTCGATGCAAATTATGTCAGAATATTTTAACAAATTTTACATTAGCGATTGCACGACAAAGGTGTTGTGCATTTTCTTAGCATTCTTAAGCGGTTGTATTAGTAATAGATCTGATGGTGGGACTGTGATATTAGGTGATCAAGTCATTAAAAAGAGTGTATGTTTTAGATATCTCAGACTGATTATTCAGAGCGATGGTGAAATAGATTTGGATACTCTTAGTGGAGTTTTAAGTTAGATGGTTGCATTGGAGGAATGCATCGGGCTTGTTGTGTCGTAGAAAAGTAACCCTCAAATTTAAGAGAAAATTTCATGAGATAATGGTGAGACATACAATTCTTCATGGCGTAAAACATTGGCCATTAAAAAAGAAACGTAAAATCACATCATTAAGTGTTTTGGAGATGAGGATGCTCAAATGGATTAGAGGCTTTACACTTAGAGAGAATAAGAAATGAGTATTTACACGAAAAGGTGGCTTTAGTGGCATATTAGATTATAGAGCGCCTTAGATGGTTTGGTCATATAAATTGTCATCCATTAAATGAAAAAATTATTTTGTGCTGAGTCCAGATATAGAGTTGCGTTCAGACTGTAAGTGTGCATAGTCATGGTTACTTTAAAATCCAATGGTGTTTTTTGTAGCAGTCCAATGGTTTGGTTTACTATACATTGTGTACAGTGTACTTTTACTTTTATATACAATGTGTACATGATATATATATATATACATTGTATATACTCACATGTCCGGACGCAACTCTGAATCCGAATTTCGCAAAAAATAATCTCCTTCAATGGAACTTTTATTTGGTTCGGTCACCTAGCATAGCTCTACGTTCGGACGCCAGTAAATTAGTGCCACGTGTTCTCACTATTTACAGTGCGGCCCGACAACACGACCCGGAACGGAGCCGGGATTGCTATGTTTGCGTATTGCTAGGTATTACTCGGTATTGCTAGGTATTGGTCGATTTTGCTAGGCAATAACATGAAATATCATTCTGTGAAGACCAATACCGAGAAATGCCGATTGGTATTGGTATTGACATAGCGGTATTTCTTGTTATTACCAAGCAATACCTAGCAATACCGAGTAATATCGAGCAATACCGAACAATCCCTAGAGCAATACCGAGCAATACGCGAACATAGCAATCCCGGGTCAGGTCGTCAGGCCGCGCTGTAAAGAGTAAGAGCACGTGGCGACATATTATTGGTGTCCGAATGTAGAGCTACGTCAGGTCACCTGACTTAATAATTGTTCCCTTCAATGACCCTATTAGGACAATAGGTGTTTAGACTCTGCCTATTTTAAGAAAGGCAGAGACAAATCAAAAAAAGATTTTATTAGAAAGTATTAAAGATGGCATTTTAAATTAAATTTTAATGCAAGTTTTAATATGACACAATTGACAAAAATGATTCATATAGGCGTTTCCACGTAGTAGGATAAAGGCTTATTATTGTTGATTTTATTGTTGGAGTTAGTAAATCCTATAAATTTGGATTTGATAAATTTTGTGATGATTAAATTTTAAAAGTTATTTGCTATGATGTGTTAAGTTCAATTAAAAGGTTTGTTTAGGGTGGTTCCATGTTAATTATAAGAATAGCCAAAATTTTGTTGGGAAGAAAATAATTTTTTTAATTATAAATGAATTAGTTTAATAATAATTAGTATACGGAAAATTTCAATTAATCATTAAGTAAAAATTTGCGAACCTAATTGAATACAATAATTTATGTTTAGTTCATTTAAATCACAAATAATATTAATTTTGTTAAGTTAGGATCTTTTAATTAGTTATGAGATTAATTATTTTAAATTAATGTATTTGTATCTTAAAAATTAATAAATTTAACTAATAAATTTTTAATCAACAATGATTAAATCTATTAAGTATCAGTTATTATAAAACAATATATCAAATAATCATTAATTAGTAATTAATTTATCTAATAAATTAAGTTTGTTTACTCAGTCAAGCAGTGAATAAATCAATTTATTTTAGTAAATATTTTAAAAATGTTTAATATATATTATTATGGTTGATTATTTCTAATATATATAATTTATTTGATTTATTATTAATACTTTTTATCAACTTATATAAAATTAATTAAATCATAATTAATATATTAGTTTATATCTTAATGTCACTTCTACCCTAATTCTCGAAACTTTCCTCACAGAGTATGAGGAAGTCACGACATAAGCCTCGATAGCGAGAGATTATTCTGTGTGGAGTCCGGACCGAAGCTACGTCCAATTTTTGTGAGTACGCGCAGCAAAATCACAGCAAAAACACATTGGTGAACAGGAACTTCATTTTTATTGTGCATACTCACATAAACTAGACGGTTCTCCCCCCCCCC